TATGCAACTGATGGATTATTCATAGCCTTTATAGAGAGAGAGAGAGAGAGAGAGTCATGGCTCAATAATAGTGCAAGCAACCTTCCTTAAAAGATTACTAGTCTTATAAGATCCATTATGCAAAAAAGTTTAATCTTGGAACTCCATATGTACATAAATATTGGTTGGGGCCAAAGAAACAGTTTCTCAGCAAAAAGCAAAGAGGCCAATTCTGGATCACACTGGAAGAGTTCATTTAGCTTGCAATTGTTTCAGCTGGATCCATGCTATATTACCTTATCAGCAAAGATTGGAAGGTCGTCATAAGGATACTTAGAGAAGTACCTTCTCAGAAGCTTTTTGTCGAGCTACAATGAGAAAGATCAGTATAAGATGATTAGGACACAATAAAAGAATGCAAAGCTATGAATTTCATGCTTCTCTATGTCGTGTACAGACATTTGACACGGGTTTTTGGTGCTTTTGGTCATAAGCATGTTTTCTTCAGTGCCAGTTTCCCATATGGTTCTTCCAGATAAATACAGACCTTTGATTCGTCAACTTTGATTGGAAGATTGAGGCGATATTGTGCGGACAGAGCAACATTAATCTCGTAATCAGTAAGTATCTTGAAGTTGCTCTTTTCCATGACCTGCATAGATTAGCTATTACAACAACAATGAGGTGCCTTCTGACTCAAAGCAATTCTATTTAAAACCCTGAAGAATGGACAAACTCTCCCCAACCAAAACCCAGAAGAAGGAGAAAAAACAAATAGGACAAGGAAAATTAAAGAAATAAGTGTGAAATACAGTTTAGTACCTGGTCTTGTCACATGGACGTTGATCAAGTCAAACAAGATAATCAGATTACTATGCATTCTATGGTAAATCTGATCGCATCGCAAAAGGCACAAACATAGCATGAAAATCAGTGACTCGATGTGAAATTGGAGGCATCCTGACTGAACGGAACTTAAATCACTCAGAAATACATATTTTTGCTCACAAGAGGACAAATTGTCTAGCAATCAGAAAGGAATAGTTCAAGCTAAGTCAGGCATGAACTATCCATTAAAGCTCTCTAGAACTCTGTCAGAAAGGAGGCTAGCTGGAATCGAACACATGGAGGCATTGGGATTGCCAAATTAATCATAGCTATGCATGAGACTATTTTGATGTTCACATCACAAACAATTCCACTTGTTGAGAGATGAAATGAGGTGAAAACAACATATATGAAACTCCTGATCATCATAAGACGTTCGCTAGACCACATTCTAGGATACTATGTCAAAAGCTCAGGAAACAAAAGATCAGATGGCTCCTTCAAGTATCATCCCATTAAAGTAGGGAAATGTTACCAATTTGGACTGCTCCAAGGGCGCATCATAAAGTCTCGCCATGCAGTTTGTTCATAATTCTTAGTCATTTTCGAGATATTTCAGCTAATTAGATTTCATTTTCTGCTTCACATTACCACTTCTCAATTGCAATTTGGTTAGCACAGTAGCTGATATACCTGCAGCAAGTCTGTCAAAAATTTCTCTTCAGAAGAATCTATGTCTTCCGGAGTCATATTCTGCTGCTCCAATTTCCTAGCCCCGTGAACCGGATCAAACAAAGAGTGCAAATACTGCAAAACGATCCACCGGAGTTGGATTAAAACTCTAAGGGAACAAGCATATCACCTGAATGTGTCGGTCACGAAAAAATAAAGCGAAAAGGCGGTGAAAAAAGTCAAATTCTTATACGAACTCGGTACTTCTATCGAAAAGGGAACTACCATCATCTCCTCGAATTGAAGGTTGTACCAGGCGCGGATGGCGTACTCCACACGACCACAGAGCTTCACAAACTCGGGCCGATCGGCTTTCTGCTCTGCAGGACACGCGAAAAAAGCTTCACTTTCAGCACAAGGTCGCGATCAGGAAGATGTTTCCGCAACAATGCTACCGTATAATCCCAGCAAACTAAGGTCAATTTCAACCCGCCCCCCCCCCCCCCCCCCCCAGCGTTCAAAAATTCAACCTTTCTCGCCAAACGCGAATCGGGAGATCACAACCGAAAGCGCGAAACGTCGCGAACTGCCAGTCACGCAGTGGAGACCGATGTGATCGAGCGATTGTCACAGAGAGGGAGAGAGAGATAGAGGCGGGGAAACTACGGACCGATGAGATTGGCCAAGGTGGCGACGAGCCGGTGCTTGAGGATGGGGATGACGGACTCGCGCTCCAGGCGCATCACCTCCCTCTTCTTCTTCTTCCCCATGCTTCGCCTGCGCGTTCCGTCGGAGTTGCAAATCCAATCGGAGAGCTCTTTCGGCAAGGAGATGATGAAAACCTAGAGAGAGAGAGAGAGAGAGAGAGAGAAGCATGCAGCGATGAATGGGGGAAGGCCCCTCGTCTCCGCCATGAATGGGGAGGGAAGCTCTCTCTCTCTCTCTCTCCTCTGCAACCCGCGCTATCCGGCGGGAGCGCCATTTTGAGTTGGCCGTTGGAGAGCGAGGTCGTGTCCGGTCCAATCGCCCGACCGGACCGGACCGGGCCGTCCAATTTTTGTCTGAAACCCTATTTATTTTTGTTCATTTATTTATTTGGTGTCTCGATTTTCCTAATATGGAGGAGGTCTCATCGATGAGTCAAACTAATCTCTTTTTCTTTTTTTTTGAAAGGACCAGAAAATAAAAAATTTCTGAAGAGGGCCTTAGGCAAATGGATTGGAATTTAGAACCACCCATCGGTCTCAAATCTATAATCGGATGGACGAAGTGAGAAAATCACGAGGTAAGCGTTAGCAGATTACCACCGGCTTCATGAACTCCTGTCTCTGAAATTTTCTATTCGTGCCCTGAATTCTGAATCCTATAGTGTTCTTGCATTTCATTCGTCACGTAGACTATGAAGCCCGTTAATTTCAAATGGACATAGATGTGCTTGGGGCCTTTTTCCATCATCATTTTTTTTTTAATTCTACGTGGTTTTTTAATGTTCTTTTCATAAGCGGATGCGAGATAGCGTGATTTTGTGTGACCGCGTTAGAAAATTAAAAGATAAAATAGCAAAAGCGAATAATAAAGATCAAATTTGGAAGATTGGAAAGAAAAAGCCCAAAAAAATAAAAATAAGGCAATTGGTTCGAGGATGAAGTTTTAAGGGAGGAGGCACTTTTTGTCTCCGGCGAGGGCCGGCGACCCCCATTTTCGTTTTTTTCTTTTCTGTCGCATGACATGCCTGTGACTAACTGCTCTTTAGAAATAGACAATACAAAGTAGAATTTGATTGACAATGAAGAGGTTGTCCAAGCTTGTGAGCTAAGTCTTACCCTTTTCTTTCTCTTTTTTCGAGCCTTGTGCTAAGTATCATAAGAAAAGAAGTCATTCTTTGGGGCCCTTTCGGGTAGGGACTTTGTCCGACATTGCTTGAATACGCAAAATTTGTACTGCTCATATATACCTAGCTTTGCAAAAGGCGAGGCTGTGGAGACCTCCCCTTTAGCTTGTTTTGGGCCGCTATAGGCACACCACCCTTATCACTCGGTACCATTTAGATGAAACGCAACGCCTTTGAGAGAAACGCATGCATGCGTCGCAAGTCTTGGGATGCTCATAGTCCTGACCTCCCGTGAGGATCCTCACCCTCGCGGTCGCGCAAGCTCGCTTTGAACTTCGCCACCACTCTGTCGCCTTCCTTATCCATCCTCAAGGCTTTCGCAGCCTAGACATCGAGAAAGAACTCGACAAGGCTCGTCTCCAGGGATGGTTTGCTTTGTTCACCCATCACTATCCTGAAAGGCGTGCAGGTTTTCACGCCTCGTTTGTCATACTGCGGCCATTTTCGGGCCTCGTCTGTCATATTCCGCAGTCATTTTAGAACAAGTTGCCGGAATTTCAACAGTGAGTTAGCCACTTAGATCAATACCCACTGCCCCCGATGTAAAATCCCCGGTAACTCGACTCCAAGCCTTTACGGAAATTGATATCCTGACTTTCGTTGAAGAAACATAGTATTTTCAATCCATCGAGAAAGTAAGAAAGCTCATCATGAAACAATAAAGTTTTGTATAGAATTGTAACATGGAGACACTGTTTTAGTTTAAAAAAAAACAGTGGTGAGAGGCAAGGCGTGGTTGGTCGTCGGATGAGGACGGCTAGTCCCATGCCCATGCGCGTGCACCCAGTGACACGCCACAATCCATAGGTGAACTTGACTTAATCGAAAGGTGCTAACACTGGTTAAGAGAAAGAGGCCTAGACTGGGTGGCGCCTGCCTAGTGGGTCCAACTGTCCAAGCAGTGCGACGCCAGGAAGGTTCTCTTGAAAGTCACAGACACTTCAAACGTTACGAAAGGAATCTGAAATTGCCAAAGCCAAGGTCGAAACATCAACCAAAGCGAATGATTCAGCCAAAGCTTCTTTAGGAGGAAAAAGACTATCATCTTCATAGTGTGAAAAATGAATGTGGAAAGGCGAAAATCTTCCAAGTCATTCGATCTCCAACACGTGCGTAGTCATCGTAACACGACCCACATTTTCTTCGACCATTATAAGCAGTGCTCTCTACAAAAGAGACTTATAGATATAGGGTATCTCGCTTGTTGCGTGATCTCAATTTGTAAGTACTTGAGAAATGGCACAAAGACAATCATAACCAAACGAGAAATACACACGGCGAAAGAAAGAGAGAGATGCAAATGCCATAAACTAGGAAACTTATCAGACTAATCAAATGATAAGAGAAAGAGTTACCTTTGTTGGGGCCTTGGGAGCATAGCTAGCAAATCATTGATTAAAGGAAACAAACAGGAAACAACACAGGTTCGATCAGCTGCCTACATCACGAACTAGGCCGAAGAAACTGACCAGAAAGGTTCAGGTTCCTCAGACATTCAAAACATTCACATGTCTGTACACGCGCTTGGTTACACGTCCCAAAAAAAGACCCAAGATGGATCAATCTGCAGCTCAATCTGAAGCAGATTCATAGAGGGGTACAACAAGCACTTACAGAATGGAATGGGATGAGATGAGCAATTATCGGGCTGTATATCAGCAATTCATTATTCCAGGAGTCAATGGATGCATAAATTACAGAGACGAACTCTTGTGGAGTGAGATGAGAAGAAGGACACGGAGACAGAACAGAATCACAAAAAAAAGGCTCAATTATCCTTTTCCCATGTTTGAGATGTCCGCCCGGAAAAATTGTCCTACCATAAAATTTTCTCTCAAATGCTCATCTAAGATCTAATGGCTAGTTATATACACTGTGCTGGGTTGGCTCTTGTATGGGTATGTACAGAAACCTATCCTGGACGGCTTCATCCAACACCGGCGGATCTCCAAGACCTCGCAACTTGTTGCTCCTATAAACTATCAAGTCAAAACTCCTGCTACAGGCATCTACTTCTAATGGCTTCTTGGGGTTGCCTTCTGACATTTTGTGAGAAAGATAAAGGGACAAGGCTCTGTTGCTATTGATTCCATGAACCCAAGAACGGTTTCCCCATTGAGTCATTCAAGCTTGAGTTCTGATGTGGCAAGTTTATCCATCCAGTGTCATTAGGCATGAGGGAAGTAGTTGGGTCCCGCCTATTCATGTAATCAAGAGAATGTGCTGCCGGAGGTAAAACATTACTCATGCTGGGCATAGGCCCGCCCACCAGAGCATAATTCCTTGAAGGAATAAACTGCTCGGCAGAGCCGATGGCATCGTAAGAAGTGCTTGATGGACGTAGTTGATTGCAATGTGACAAGACACTGTACAGACCCTGATCGAGATTGCTTGCATTCCCAATGCTCTGACTCGGGCCACATACTGTACCTGAACTAGTCCAGCCTCCACGAACATGACGTTCACCAGAAAACCAGTTTTGGCTGGACAAATCTCCGCCAATTAGAGGAGGCTGGAGAGTGTCAGGCATACGAACAGAATTCACAGCCCAGTCTGGCACGTTGACAGGGAGCACTTGCTCTGGCCTCTGGAATAAATATCTACCTCCATCAGGGAAAATATTGTCGGACATATTTTGTTGCATGTAAACAACCTCATTTCCAGTCTTCTGCACTTGCTCCAGGGGCATAGATAGACTTGGCTGCTGATGGAAGTGACTGGGAAACCGAGAATCTTCCATCAAAACACTGTTAGACGGAGCAAAGTGTAACTCTGTAGGTTTCTGCCCATGACTGTAAGACATCATGTCCTGGCCCTTAAGAATAGATTGGAGAAGCTCATTTTGGTCAGGGTTTGGGTAGGATTTCAGAGAACCCTCGTTTGATTGTTGATGCAAGTTGCATTCAAGATCCATCCAGTGCCCTCGTTGCTCATCATTAACCGGCGGATGGGTGAGTTTCAACTCACCGGAAGAAGTGCCCTGAGTGCCTGTATTAGAATCATAGAAAGGATGAAGCATGCTTACTGGTTGCCAGATGTTACCACCACCAGAAGAGAGAGGAAGTCCCTGACCAGCCATTCTATTAGTGTGGCTCAAAGTTCCCGAGAATGCTGATACATTGTGAGGACCATTATCTGATTTTGAGGTTGCTCTATTATCTACAGACTCGAGATTCAGATGGTTAAAATCATGGCAGCCCCTAAGTGGGGATATCTCCTTCATAGATGGGTTGTGGGAAGACACAGGAACAGGGTTTCCCGAGAATGCTGATACATTGTGAGGACCATTATCTGATTTTGAGGTTGCTCTATTATCTACAGATTTGAGATTCAGATGGTTAAAATTTTGGCAGCCCCTAAGTGGGGATATCTCCTTCATAGATGGGTTGTGGGAAGACACGGGAACAGGGGTTCCCGAGAATGCTGATACGTTGTGAGGACCATTATCTGATTTTGAGGTTGCTCTATTATCTACAGACTCGAGATTCAGCTGGTTAAAATCATGGCAGCCACTAAGTGGGGACATCTCCTTCATAGATGGGTTGTGCGAAGACACAGGGACAGGACTTCCATCTCCATGCACAGCAGAAATATTGTCTACTGAATCAACATCTCTCAGATCATGCACAGATCCAGGAATAGGCTCTTGGTCATCCTGCATAATTGATGTGAGGCCAGTGGCTTGATCATTTCTACTATCAGGGGAGAAGTCAGGTTCCAGCTCTTCATCATCCTCCCCATCAAAAGCAAATTCTGCTTTTGTGTTATCATTTTGATCCTCAGAGGAACCTGAAAGAGACTCTTTCTCGTTTTCAATGTTGAGTGTGTTCTGCTCCCCATCAACATCTTCGTCCACAGACATACCCTCGGAAGTTTCTTCCTCATCCTCACCACCCTGTCAGAAGAAAACACATCAGCAATGTCCAGAGAAAAGCTGCAGGACTAAATCATATGAAGATTCTTAACGCAACAGACTTGTAGAAGTTCATGTTGGGGTGAATTTCAGAGAAAATCATAGCTCTATGTGAAAGCTCATGTGCATGACAGCCAAAAATGCAGGTAAAAAAGGAGGACAGTAAGAACCTCTGTGAAAGAATCTACTTTTTCGTTGAGTTCTTGCTCCAATGCCCTAACCATACGATGTTTCTCCTCTTGCATGTTCCTCCAGCTTGCATACGTAGAGGGGATATCTTCTTTTGCCAATTGCACCCTAGGCAAAAACAGATTTTCAATATACGTATACCAGGAAAATAAAAACTGAAGCGATAACTTAAATAACTCACCAGTGTTCATGCAACTTCTTCCGTTCTTCTTCTACAAATACTTCATATGGTTGTACATTGAAATCATCAAGATTGCCTAAAAGAGGTCTTAGTGACTTGGAGTGAATGGTAGTACCAGATTGCTCCATGCTCTTGGCAAGTTCATGCTGCTTCTTACTGATCTGAACATTTTAAACGAAATAACGATAAGACAAGCAATAGATTGCACCCATTACTTGGCTAGACTGCCTTGAAACTTAAATATACTAATAGAGTTGAAGACATGATCGATCATATGACTACTTTATGTCCAAAGGACCTGAAGACTCTTTTTCATCATGTGACGATGGCCAAACTTGACACAGATGCTCCTTAATCAAGTAGATAAACATAGACAAGAGAGAATTTCATATCGTTTGAAGAGTGCAAGTAAACAAAAAACAGGAATAGTGTACAAGCCAACTCTAGTAGCAATATCAACAACCAATTTTAGTAAATTCTATGGTTCATAGCACAAATGATATGCAAGGACAGACAATGGAAAAGAAGATTTTCAAGGTGGGAAATATAACAGATTCTCATCATGTCGCATAGTCGCTTAAACAAGAAAGAACAACAAAAGGACAAACTATAACATAGCTTGTAACAATTTTTCACAATATTCCAACGTTTGAACTAGGAGAAGCTTAATCAATATTTAAGTTTAAGAAGTATTGTTCCTAAGCTTTACGACATGATATTGTTCAAAATATGTTCAAGTTCCCCTAACAATAAAGAAAGATTGAAGCTAAACCAGATAACTGAATCGGTGCTCAAAGCCAGATAGTACAAATGATAGAAGGGAAAATATCCTACGCTTCTGGCTCAGTGAAACCTGAGCTTGGCAGCACCAATAATGGTGCCTGACTCTGGCCGGAACAAGGGACATGGAAGTGCTTCTAAACTTCACATGCTTTACACTACTGATCAACCAACAGGTAAAACAATTCTCAGAGACGGAGATAAGTGTGCCCAAACTAAACTGATTCGCTCAATTTCCAAGCTGCGGCCTTTTAGTCAGTCTCCCTAAGGTAAGAAACTACTGACCTTGATGTAGGACATGTATTTGGCCCCATCATTGTAGATTATGCTACTTTTGCTTAGCTTTTTGTCTTTCTTTGGCTTCTTTTGCGCACTAGGCACATCATCTGAGACAGCAAATGAATTCCCGGTTTTGCCCTTGCCTTTCTCGCCCATCCTGCAACCAATTTTTTTGTGAGATTCATCAGTTATAAACACACGCGCACGTGCACATGACCCCTCATAAAATAGATTTTAGTAATCACTGACAAAATAAAAATATTTCGTCATTCCACATTTATGATGGCTGCACGTTATCTAATCAAATCACTTGTCTGGAGCTGCCAAAGTGTAATGCTTCCAGCAAATAGGGTTTCAATAGCATTTTTAACCGAAGATTGACCTGGAGTAATTGTTGGAACAGTGGAAAGAAACCAAAAAAAATAGAGGAAAAAAGAGAAAGCAGAATAAGAGAAACACAACAAACTAAACAATTGTACATTAAACCAAACAAAAGAACCCAGAGATTTTAGAGACCACACTTCAGAACTTTCAGGAGAGTCACACTCTCCAATGAAGGTTTTTTGTTAGAGACCACACTATTATAATCATAAAAGTCAACTTCAAAGAAATAGGAGATTCTCCTGTCAACCTATCTCCTTCAGGAAGGCTTAAAGGCAAACATCACAGAACTCTTTGCATGGATCAGTTACCTCTTCCTTGAAACTACACCCTTCAGAACAGCAGATAGGTACTTATCACTGTTATTTGATCTCTCATCTCCATCCCATGAGGAAAATTCAGATGAAGCAGAGACACTCTCTTCAAGTTCACGAAACATGGATCCATTTGCAGGTGATGAGAACTTTTTTCCTGCATTCTTTTTTGACCTGCCGAAAGTGAAAGGTATATTCTCAATTAGATGTAGCCATCGTCAATATGCATATAAAAGGTATATGAAAGGGACGAGCCTCCTGATCTTCTGGACAAATTCTTTTTCTGGGTCCTTGCAGCTTTCCCAACTCTCCTTCAGCTTCAGTAAGCTTCCTATAATACTGCAAGGGGGAAAAACAATCGAGATGTCAATGTGACTGCGGTCTAACAAGCAAAATACTGAAGAAAAAATTGGGTTGAACATTTTTTACATACTCATTGTGATATTTCTTCAAGTCTGAGTAGTATTCCTTCTTTTCCGCCTTTAAATGCTGTTCATGTCTAACAACTGCATCAGGATGCAAATTACCTGATTGAAGTGAAGCACCCCTGCAGTCACAAGTTTCAGTAGGGGCTCAGAATCAGAGAATCCCGACTTTCCATTTAAAGGATAGAAAAGGTCAAACGACCAGACTATTTTTTAATTTCCTTTTGGTTAATTATGATGGGCGGGGGGTGATGAGACTTGCACTCAAAAGCACAGATGCGGGTAAGGCTGCCTAAATAACTAGAAAATTCTAACGAGCAAAGGCAGAAATAAACAACTGTTACTTCATAACCAAATGTCAGGAAGGCATGAAAGTTACTATTGGATGATTAGATTGGTGTTCAATACAATGAGACAAAGATCATTTCATAAACAGAATAAGAATTAAAATTAAATAACAATACGCAAATTTTCACAAAGTTAAAAGTTTCAACAAGCCCTATCAAAATACAGACATTTAAAAGTCAACAGACCCTATCAAAATACAGACATTTGAGCCAAGCCCAAAAGTTAAAATAGCTTCTTTGAAGTCTAAGAAAAAAATATCTATTCCAATCTAAGAAAGAAATTTTCCAATGCGCAGCAGGACAAACTACAATCTCACAGAAAGTCAGAATGTTTTTTCCCTCTATCTTCAAACATATATCAATAAATTATCATCAACTTTCAACCTTTCGTCCCTTCCAGTCGTACAAGCAATTTCAACACTTCTTCTACATCCCCTTATACTGTTCCTCTTTTGTTAATGGACAGTGCTGATGGAATCCGCTCTACTCAGAGATGACCTAGTAAGGTCTCAATTTGGTCAATCCAACAAAAAACTTCGGCACGTGCACAAAGAACAAGGACTCCCTCCAAATATGTGGATTTTTAAAAAAGTAAAGAGATGACTGCTCCAGCTGTCAAGGAAAATATCAACAACTTGGAAAATTTCTTACAAAGCCCACAAAGCACGACAGAGTTTCACATCTAGGAGGTTCATAAACATGATAATTTTCCGTGAATCTAAGTTTCATTGCACAGAAGACTTTCACGATGTAGACAGAAGACACAAAGTTTGGTGTAGAAAAGATGACAACCTGTAAGTGACACAGTTAACCTGAAACAAATAATTACCTATCATGAATACCTGATTGGACAATCAAACAATGTAAAGAACAATCACAATTACGGATGGGTATGCTTTTCTTGAAGACAGGAAAGAGGAAAAACTGCTTATGTCGTAAATTGCACCATGCCAACATGAAAGAGAGCAACTCTTTATGTTGGACACTGGACCATGCCACGTATCAAGGCAGAATGATACTTGCAAAGAAAATGATTTTCAACTGACATATTTCAAATTAATGCTAACCACTTGATTAAAGGATTTCCGAAATGGAAATTATCTCCTGATAGCAATGATTTAACAACTTCCTTTGCCTCTGCTTCTCTAGGGAGAAACTGCTTCAGAAATTTTCTCTCACTCTCTGATAGACAACTTTTCCAAGCCTGCATGTTCCAATTGAAATGCCTTGGTAAGTTTCCAATGTATCTGAACATGCAAAAGCGCAGGCAATTCACATAACCATATTCTATGAAGCTACCTCGGGCGAGAGCACATCCTTCAAACTCTCCAAGTCAAATATTTCTCTCGGGATATCAAAGGCATCAGCCAAAATATTGTGACCCTGCGGCAGAGAATCAACAAACGGTTTCAAATCCCTCCAACCGATGCCAATTTGCTCCTCTTTAGCGATAACCCTCGCTTGGTTCACATCCCACTTTAGAGATATATGGGACTTCGTGTTTAAGCCATCCTCTACTGATTCCACACGTTTCCTTTTTGCCCTAGATTGTCCACGCAAAGTGCTATCAACATTAGCAGCACCATTTGACAGCTTTCTTCTTTGATCAGCAGCCATCACAATAGATAATGTCAAAACAAGACCACGAAACACATCACGCTAGCTAGAGGGAAAAGCTCTCTTGAAACATTGAAGGAGTATCTTCCATCCACACGTGATCTGAAATCCATATGCAAAAAGATTAAAATTGCCAGACAGCAGTTAACAATAGTGTATGATGTTATTGCGAAGAAAATAATATATAATCATCATTTCAGTAGTTTTAGCAATTTATAGAAGTCTAACGTGCAACCTAAGTAGAAGCACAGATGCTTTGTGCACAAAAGATTAAAAAAAAAACCATGAAGAGATATCTAAGGATAAAGATTGACTGCAAAGCTTAGAAAACGTGTTCAATCTGTCAAATTAGGGCACATCTATTTATGCTTCAGTGGAAGCAAAAAAGCTTTCCCGCCAAAATTTAATATATTGTTCAAATTTCAATCAGTTACGAAAAATACATGTGAATCTGCGTGTCAAAATTTGTATATATAGCGAAAATTTCAAGTCTAACAAGCAAAAAAAAAAAAGTCGATGTGCGTTCGTCGCAAGATTTGGATTAAGCAAAAAGCAAAACGTAAAAGCTTATCCAAACACACCCTTAAACTTCATGCTTAAGTCACCTTAATTCTCGGCCATACATGACAAACTTGAAAAATGACATACCCAACGAGCCAACACCCAATGTACTTTAGCTATCAATCAACACCAATACAGACACTATTGCAAAAACTACATTAGAATATTTCCCTTCCTCCAGCGCCAAAAAAAGAATAACGAAGGGCATGTATCCTCCAAAGATGCCAATACAGAAGGAAACACTGCCACTCTCACAAAGTAAAACATTATGCTAGGACAGCACAAAAACAAATGCAAATCCAAAGATATTCGGAAAAAGAAACTGCAGCCAAAGAACTGAGGCTGTTATAGGTTGTTTCCAATGACCCACGAATCTACCAATCAGTCCCTCAAAAGGCATGAAAATGACAATGCAGATCAATGATATTAAACAATTTAAACACACAATCTCATAGCCCCACTGATCAAGTTCCAAAAAGTGATCTCTCACAACACAGCAACTAAAAGTGCACTTCACTAGATGAAGTTTCTGATATGAAGTTGATATACGGAGTATATGTGCCAGGAGATCTCTATATTTCTTCTATCATTCACATTTTTAAAGAGATGAATATATATTGGCTCTCCCAACTGATTAACGAAAAAAAAAAAAGGAAAGGAAATAAAGAAAGAAAGCAATAGTCTAATATTAATTTCTAATCCATTCACAAAATCCTAAATTGGACATTGGAGTAAATGCACCACTCTAGAATATGCCTTTAGACCATAAATGACACCATAAACTGTATAATCCATGCAAAGCGTAGATGGGTATCCTGAGCCTTTGAAATAAGTCAAATTCTAAGAATAACCAAAATAAAAGTGGTGACTAGATAATTAGGGGGAAAAAACTCATCAACTCCATCTAAGAAACCAGCATAAAACTGAACCCTGCACCATGGGCACTTTATTAAATAAGCCCAAATGGTCAACCTAACCACCCTCCGCACGCTTTTAGCAAAACTTATTCCTACCATATTGCGAAGAGACCGACAAAAAACAACATTTAATCGTCCATCAGCAAAGCCCCGATCAAGTCTGCCACTGCACACTACCAAAACAGCAACACACGAAAGCCCCACCTCAATTCACCACTTGCTGAATTTGTCCCGGAAGACTCCATTAAAGCAACGTGAATTGGCGCATTAGCCCCATCGCACGATACCCAATTACACCCAGACGAGGGAATACTACCAAAAAAAGTTCAATTGCGAGCATAAAAAGTAAAGATTCAGCAATTCCCCCAATCCCAACAAAGAGAAGCCGTGGGGACTCGAACTTCACGAACAAATCAATCAAAACAAAACAACAACACAACAACAGCAAAACACATACACAAACACACGACCGACGGATATCGAGCTCCCCCGCCCATCAATCAGCGAGCGAGTTAAATTCGGAAACAAAACCGAAGCTCCCGCGAGTACCTCTCTCCGCCCCCACAAAGAAATCCCGATCCGTCGGGGCGCCGGAAGCCGAAACCCTAGGAATTCGGCGGCGGACCCAGGCGGCGACGCGGAGACCCACCCCCCGGCCCGACCCGACCCGCGTATCCCCCACCCGGGGGGACGCCGAAGCCCGCGCCGCGACAAAGCCCTCGTCCTTCGCGGGTGAATCGGCGGCCGGAAACGCGAAAGGGGGCTCGCGAGCTGCGCTGCGAATCGACTCGGCCCACGAAAGAACGAAAGGAATCGAAACGCGAATGGGAGAAAAACGCAGAGAGAGAGAGAGAGAGAGAGAGCGAGGGGGGGGGGCAAACGAAGCGAAACGGAGGAGAAAATCCGCGTTATCCAATTCGTACTCGAGGAGAGAGAGACAGAGCGAGGAGAGAGAGAGAGAGAGACGCAGACCACACGAGAATATGGCGGCTGGAGAGAGATCGAGGGAAGAGCGAGGGGGCGCCTCGGAACCGGACCGCCTCCTCCCTCGGCGCGCGCGCGCTCCCGGCTCGGGCTCGGGCCGCCCACCCCGGCTGGGCTCGTGCCGGTCCGGTCCGATCTCCGGGCCGTCGAATCTGCGAGCTCCTTCACGAATTGACCCGTCTTGTCTCTCACCAGTCCCACCACCATGCCCTATCAAATGCAAACACTGCAGATTTGCGAAAGAGAGCGAGGGAGCCTTTTTGTAGAGCGCCCCTTTCCTCCTCCTCCTGGAAAAAGGGATTCAAAAACACCGGCTATAACGGGGGGAAACGCGCGCGCCCCGGCGCCGAGGTACCGGCGGATCGATTTGATTTGTTTTAGCAGATAGCAACGGGCGCGGCGCCTGCCATTTTTGAAACGAGCTTTTGGCAAGTTCATTAATTTTTCCCTCGCCGTGCCTCTTGGGCGACAGGAGGAACGCGACGGTTCGCTCGCACTGTGATTTCGGTATGTGTTGAAATGAAAAGACGAGGATGGTTAATGACTTGCTGAATGGACGCAATCGTCCTGGTCATAGGCTCGCTGGAGTTGGATTAGATTTCTATCACGACAAAGAAGGGAATATCGCTGGTTATCGAGTAGGGAAAATTACCATAAAAGTCTTGCATCTAATATACGACGGTCAAATTAGTCTTTAAATCTTTCAATTTTGCCGATTTAATCATATACCATAAAGAAAACGGAAAGGAAAAGGAAAAGGAAAAAATAAGAAAAAATAAAGAAATTTTAAAAAAAGAATGAAGAAATTGTCCACATCATCACTATAGGATAGTCGTCGCTCACTGAACCGCCATGTCAACAATTTTGCTCAAAAGTATTATATTGGCAAATCGTTAAAAAATTTAAGACTGAATTGGTAAAATTGCAAGGTTTAGCATTGAACCGGTCACCTTACAATAGGTTTAGGACTTTTTTAGTAACTATCCATTATCGAGCACAAGTGTTAGAAAAAGGAAATAAAAAGAAAATTATGCTAATCATCTCTAAAGTTTGGCCAATTCGTAGTGCCGTTTTTTGGTTTTTAAATCATTCAATGTGGTCCTTAAACTTATTCCTAAATATTCGATGTAGTCATTTTGTTCGATCAAACTACGGAGAAAGTCAACACAAGCCCTTAAATTATTGCGAAATGTCTTATCTTATCCCTAAACTATCGCGAAACGTGCGACATAGTCCCCAAATCTTCAATTTTTTCAATCTGGTTTCTCAACTTTTCGTAACAAAGTCAAACCAGTACAAATGTTTCCCAAAATTAGTAGATGACCCACCAACCACCGTAGGTATCGCAATCTAAACGAGTGTTAGAAAACGGAAGGAAATGATGATAAACGCCAAACGTGACTTGAGACTTTCCGTCTCGCGTCACGAATCACGTGTTCAAAGTAAACCAAAGAAAGTGGTGACAGATTTAATATTATTTTAACACAAGACAGCTTGCTTTGGGCCAATTACGAAGAAATTAACAAAAGATGAGCTTCGAGAATGAAACGTACGGGTCCATTCGTTCAACATCGTGTCCTAAAAATAGGAAGAAATTCATCCATTTTTTAATATCCCAAATAAAAAGAATAAAACAAAAAAAAAGAAAAATCTAAGACCAAAGGCAAAAGCCTAGGACCTGGTCCAGGAGATGGTTAGAGAGATTGCATTGAATTGGAAGGTCTTATCATATTTTGTTTTGGGTTATTTGTGGGGTCGACGGCGACTTGAGGTCGTGAAGTCAACGATTTGTGCTTTTCTTGTTCCTTTGGTTTTTCCTTCTTACCAACCAGCCTTTTCAAAGAAGACTTGTATTCAATTCTGAAAATGCTTAAACATAAGAGGCCCACTAAGCGGGTTTCAAGATAAAGCAAATCCCATAGAGTTTGAGGAGAGTGGACTACCCAATTCGATGGCAGAGTTGCTAACGAGTCATAGAATAAAAATTCAGGTGCATCGCTCTTTTGTAGTATGTATAGCGCTTAGAACAATGTTTTGCATACGAAAACATTTTATCTGGTATTGAATTTGTATAGCACAGAGGTGACGTTCCAAGTTACAACTTTTCTGAACATGGCTTATTTCTACTTTCTATGACATCTTTAGTCTTTGGTATGTATTTAAATTTGTGGGTTACATTGGAACGTGTGAAGGTAATTTTCTCAAAAAAAGAAATGGAAGGCAATACAAGGTTCTTTTGGTAACACTTTGCCAGAGGACTTCGAACCCATATGCGTTTGGTTGTCCGGATTTGGATCTGGGATAGAATGGGATAAAGTGGGATTAGAAATTCTCCATAGCCTCTGGATTGTAGAAAATCTCGTTTCGTATTTAGTGTAATCCAAGATAGAATTAAAAATCTTTAAAAATCTCATTTGCCCGATACAATCTCACGCGATATCTAAAATTCACCGCTTGAGCTCCCTTACCAATGTCTCTCAAACCCGCTCTCTTCGACTCCCTTCATTCATCTCCTTCACCACCACCACTATCTTTATCTATAGACGATAGTCCTCACTCAGCTTCATTCTATCAGAGGCAATTTGGACATGGGCAAAGATGAGCCTTGGGTCGTCAAGCGACCGTAGGGGGTAGTGGCCACGACGATCTGGTAGACAAGCTAACAACGGCCGATGTAAGGGTAGTAACAGGGTGGTGGACACCGCGCGAAGGTTAGGTTTCACTTGACGTCAAAGTTGACAATCTAGGGCTAGTGAGGGATAGAGAGAAGGTGGACCGCATTGGGGCAGCGAGTAATGAGGGCTTAACACGCCTCTATACAGACAACGACCTCAAAGGATTCGACACACTTGTGAAAGGACTCCAGTTCTTTGATGGTGATGATCATGTGACGTATAACTTCTCCTTTTCACCCTCAGACATTGGAGCACAATCGACTCGACGACAATGATGGTCGGCGGTGGTTGGAGGTGATAACAATTGCACGGTGGTGTTGACACTTAAATTTCGATGTCCTGTTTAATAATTCATGGCATAGAAAATTACGGATTGGCCCCGATCCCTAGTAAAAATAATTAATTAAATTTCATAAAGTCATTAGGAGCATATTTCATTTAATCGCATTCAATCGAAACGGGGGTGGAAAGTCCCGAGCTTAAATTGAACAGATTAAGCCCGCAAAGGAGGGCCAAATTCGTGCAGCCCAGGTGAAGCATACCGCCCAAAATTCATGGACAGAGGTGGGCCTTAATTGGCCTTAATGAGCCTCGATTAAACATTATCCAGCCCATTAGAGCTTAACTGAGAAAAGCCTTAGGTAAAGCCTGTTATACTGAAAGGCCGAAGTCAAGCCCTACCAATTAGCCTGGGTTAACATTATAGATATGACATTACGCCTCGCAAATTAAAGATGGGGCAATTGAAACCTTAGAGCAAATAGAGAGAAACACGTGAGAAAGAGAGAGGGAGGAGCACTCCCACCAGGCCTGCCACCTTGACTAGCAGCTCAGTTGAGATCCTTGCCAATGCCACTTGTCGCTCTGCTGTTGCATTGCGAGCCTTCATCTCTGTCCAGCCACCGTACGACAACGAGCTGCGATCTTTTGGATGGATCGATATGAATCGGCAAAAGTTATGAATGATCATTTGTCGATTTTGGATAGATAAAAAAATGACAAGAAATTTAAAGGTCCAAACATTGGGAACAATAGTTACCGGTGATATAAATTGCAGTTAAGTCAGATAAAGATAAATTTCCAGGACGTTGAGTTCTGTAATTGATTGGATGTGTTTTTACAAATACAAGGCGGGTATTCATAGCCCACTATGGACTGTTATGTACAAGAAGTTTTTTAATTTAAATAAATAAAACATTTCATAATCTTATTTGTAGTTACAAGAAATTATTCCACGATCTCTTATTATGCATCAACACTTAGTTGTAATGAGTTATACAAATTCTAAATTAACAGCCATAGACATAATCAATTAACCACCCAACAATTATGTTTTGGTATCGGTTCGTCATCATTGTCCTCGATTGATGTGTTGGCAGGCTTTTCTCATTAATTGTACTATCTCAACACTTAGCCAAAATCAAGGACTACTCGTTGTCAATGACTCCATCGATCAACTTCTCGAGTCTTGATCGAGGCTCTTGTCGAGAACATTCACGTGACGTGTTGTCGATGACTTTTTAGCGAGTTATTGATTTCTTTCAAGTTGTCGACTTCTCTGGTTGCTAGTGGCTTCTATTTTGACCAAATTCTTCTCTCATCGACTGGGATTGCACTCGTCCGTAATAGCCAAAGGATGATCATTTTCCGGCATCGACAATTTCTTTCTAAATGACACCTTCAATGATAAAAGAAGTAACACAAGAACTATCTATATCCTCGATTTCCTAGATACATTTACAAACATTAGCAATGGGACTTCGGTATGGTGCTGTGAAATATTATGAATAGTGCATGGTTGTGGAAGTTTTTGCCAATCTAAGAATCCGTATCATAACGAATTTTCACCTCGTTATAGAACTTTCTGTAATCCTCGATTTCTTAGATTCATATCCATTAGCTACATAACTTTTGTATGGTGCTAGAAGACATTGCAAATGGTACCTCAACATTAAACCCATTGGTAATTTAACGTGAAAGGTGGCAAAATTCAAGAACATTTGAATTTCATGACATTGATTTACCAATATGAACACGCACTCATTACATCTGTGGCGGTGCCACTCGAAATATGGGGAGGCCCACAAAATTGTGTAGACCCTCCAAGTTATGGAAGAAATGTTTCGTTGTCGCAATTTCTATAATCATCGAATGTCTTCCTCTTGGGATCATGACATGAAATGCGGGAAAATTGTCAAAAAATTCCTAAACCTATTGCACTTTTACCAATTCAGTTCTAAACCTTTTAAGTTTGCTAATTCAGTCTTAAACTTTTTCACTTCTTTCCAATTCAGTCCTAAACCTTTTTCACTTCTTGCCAATTGAATCCATTTGGGCGGCCGGTGCTGACGTGGCCGTCCGGCCAACGCTGACGTGGCAATTTTAAAATAATTTTATTCGAATTTTTAAATATTTTTTTTTCAGCCTTTTCCCTTTGGCCGGTTCGACGACCGGCCAGAGGCGCGCCCTCGCTGACCTCTGGCAAAGCTCGCCCATGTCGGCCACCGGCGAGGGCGAGCCTCGCCCGCCGCTGTGAGGCCGGCCTCGCCCAGCTGAGGCGAGCCCGGCCTAGCTGTCGCTAGGTTTCGTGACGGCGAGGCCAGGCTCACCTTGGTTGGGCGAGGCTCAACCTCGCCGAGATCCGGTGAGGTCGAGCCTCGCCCAGCCATGGCAAGGCCAACCTCGCCGTCGTTAGGTTTCACTCGCCCAGATCCGGCGAGGTCGACCTCGCCGTCACTGGGTTTCACTTGCCCAACGACGGCGAGGTTGGCCTCACCATGGCTGGGAAAGGCTTGTCCTCATCGGTGGCCGACGGGGGCGAGCTTCGCCAGAGGCTGGTGAGGTCGACCTCACCGGCCCGCGCCTCTAGCCGGTCGCCGGACCGGCCAGAGGGAATAGGCAAAAAAAAAGAATAAAAAATATTAAAAAATGTGAAAAAATATTTAAAAATTGCTATGTCAGCGTTGGCCGGACGGCCGGCGGCCACGTCAGCACCGGCCGGCCAAATGGACTGAATTGGCAAGAAGTAAAAAGGTTTAAGATTGAATTGGCAAACTTAAAAGGTTTAAGACTGAATTGGTAAAAGTGCAGTAGGTCGAGGACTCTTTTGACAAATTTTCCCATGAAATGCATATGATCAAGCATCAATACCAAACCTACCTAAATATTGGGTGCAGCTGTACGCCTTCGATCATAATGTCATCATCACTTGTACCGTTTCTTTTAAAGTCCAAAGATACATCACAAAGCTACAAAGTTCAACAAACAAGATATCATTGAGAACCGATCAACAGCCGCCTCTCGTCGAGGAAGGTGTACACCGGCACCTCCAGATTGAGCGGCGCGGGGCCCTTCCGGGCTCGGCCTGAGATGTCGTAGTGCGAGCCGTGGCACGGGCAGAACCAACTGCTGTAGTCGCCGGCGTTCGGCAACGGGATGCAACCCAGGTGCGTGCACACGCCCACGACCACGAGCCACTCCGGGTCTTGGACCCGCACGGAGTCTGGCTGGGGATCCCAGAGCGAGGTCCAGTCCTCGCGGTTCGCCCAGTCGATCTCCTCCTCTGTCAGCCGCCTTATGAAGACGGGCTTCCCGCGCCACTTGACGGTCACGGTGCTGCCCGGGTCGATGTTCGACAGGTCGACCTCGAGCGATGCCAGGGCGAGCACGTCCCTGGTGGCCGACATGCTCAGGACCAGCTTGACGACGAGCAGGTGGACGACCGACACGGAGGCGAATCTCCCCAGGCCCAGGACGAAGTAGGCGAAGGCCCGCTTGCTCGGCGAGCCGGGAGGCAACCGCTCGTGGTTATACTCATCATAGACCATCCTCGGGGTGGGGTTCTTGATGGCGGCCGAGGTCGGAGGCACGTTGTCCGCGACGGCGATGCGTTGCCACGCGCTGCGAGCGCTTTGGAGGCGAAACCTGATTCAGATTGTTCAAAAAACACAGTGTAAAATACTAAATGAAAAAGCATGAGATGGACCCGAAACTTATGATGAACTATGCTATCTTCTCTCGACACTGTCATCTTCAACTTGCGCCATAACATTACGTGCAGGGATTCATGGTCACGGGCACTGTCCTTCATCGCCAAGAGCTCAAACATGAACACGCAGAGCAAAACATCACCTCGTTTTGAGAGCTCAAACATGAAGGTGCCAAGATAGACAGACATGAAATGGCGTGAAATGTCAAAATCTTGTGCAGGACCACAGTTATGTAGGACGACGGCAAACAACCAACCTCTCCCCAGAAGGCGAAACCGCGGTTCGCTCGAGAAGTACCCGGAGAAGTCGAGCGGCGACGAGCCGGGATCTCTCGAACTCTTGGCCACGGTGGCGGCGGCAGCTGTGGCCGTGGGGAAGCTGCTCGGCCTCTGGAGAGGGGAGGGAAGAGATAGCCGCCTCCCGGCTGCCGCGGCCTTCCACATACTCGCCCGGCCGAGCGTGACCTTTGCCGTGACGTTCGAATGCCAACCTCGCATCGCTCGATTTCGAGAGAGAGAGAGAGAGGGCCGATCGAGGAAAAGATTTCCACCCTGTTCTTGTTCTAGAGAAAGCAAGACGGTGCTGCATGCGGTGCAGAGACGAAGGGATCGTGTGCGCGAACATACGTGGCGGCTTGAGTTCTCGACACGTGCCCATCATGCACAAGACAGAAAATAAATTGAAAAATAGAAGGCTCAAAGACAAGTAGCCGTCTTAGCTCAGCCGGTAGAGCGCGTGGCTTTTAACCACGTGGTCGTGGGTTCGATTCCCACAGACGGCGTTCTCACTATTATTCCTACTTTTTGCAATTTTTGCCACCATTGATCCGTCTTAATTATATTTTCATCCCATATCTCTCTCTCTCTCCAACTTTTCTCCTAAAATCAAGGCCCTCTTTCAATTTTGCCACCCTCGATCCGAATTATAATCTTCCTTGTAATTATAGTTTTGAAAGTTGAAGTATTCACGTATAATTTGTCACTTTATTTCTACGCACCAAGCAATGCACGAGCACATTGAAAAACCTTTATTCTTTGTCGTGAGTGCTTATTTGGAAAAAGGAAATTTTGGGGTTCGAACTTTTCGGAATTTGAAAACAAAAGACAAATTCTCTAAATTCTAGGTAATCACGAGAAACTTGTGTGTGATTCTCGTGACAATATTTCTATTCTCAAAAGAATAAAGGCAAAATTGGATTATTGGTAAAATTTATGAAAAGGAAAAAAAGAAGAGAAAATCAAAAGTTAACAGAAAGCTATCAAGTAAGGTGAGCAAAAGGAACCGCCTAGGATCATAACAATTTTTTTTTTTTTATATTTCTTAGAAATCTCTAAAAAAAATCATAATTTATTTCTTATTGTACAAAGGAAGATCTTTAAAGTTTGAGCGATTACGTTTACTTCAAGAACAAATCAAAACACAACAATAATTGCTCATTTTAACTAAATTTTGCTATAAATTAGAAAAAATTATATGAAACCTATAATGTTACGTGTAACTCACTGATCATAAAAACATCTTAATTATTAAGAATATCTTTAATTTTATCTTGAACATTAATGACAAAGAAATAAAAAAAACTAAATATGCCAGTCCGATATGATTCCTGGAATGAGAAACCCGACCTGCTGATCCGGTTCTCGGTTCGCAGAATCGGACCACTCGGGAATCGATTACCTCTTCTATCTAGTGGTCAAAGGCCTGACGAGACTTTGACAAACAAAAAAAAAAAGGGAAAAAACCACCAAAAACCCCAAAGTTTGCAATCTGTGACACATTTACCCCAAATTTTTTTTTGTGACACCAAAAACCCCGAACTTTGCTTTTTGTGACACATTTACCCCAATGTATTTAGTCCATGGGCATTTTTGTCTTTTTTGCTTTTTCTTTTTTTTTTTCCTTTTCGGCGAGGGGGGGCCTCGCCGGCGTTGGGCGAGGGCTGCCCATCGCCGGATCCGGCGAGGGGGGCCCTCACCGGCGTCGAGCGAGGGCGGCCCTCGCTCGGGCGAGCGGCCTCGCCGGATCCGGCGAGGGCCGCCCGCTCGACGCCAGCGAGGGTCGACCTCGCCGGACGGGCGAGGGCCGCCCTCGCTCGCCAGCGAGGTCGACCTTCGCCCGACGCCGGCGAGGGTCGACCTCGCTGAGTCGGGCGAGGGCCGCCCTCGCTCGCGACGCCGGCGAGGGTCGACCTCGCCAGATCGGCGAGGGCCGCCTCGCTCGCCCGGCGAGGTCGACCTTCGCCGACGCCGGCGAGGGTCGACCTCGCTGAGTCGGGCGAGGGCCGCCCTCGCTCGCCCAGCGAGGGCGAACCTCGCGACGCCGCGAGGGCCCCCTCACGGAAAGGAAAAAAAAAAAAAAAAAAAAGAAAAAGGAAAAAGACGAAAATGCCCATGGACTAAATACATTGGGGTAAATGTGTCACAAAAAGCAAAGTTCGGGATTTTTGGTGTCACAAAAAAAAGTTCGGGATAAATGTGTCACAGATGGCAAAGTTTGGGATTTTTGGTGATTTTTTCCCAAAAAAAAAAAACCCCATGGGGCCTCGCTCCGAATCCGGATTCTCAGTAATCGGGTTCGGAGCCCCATCTCCTACTTCTTCCCCCCTCCTCCACCTTCGTTCACCAAAAGTTCTCTCTCCATTGTTATCCCTCGCCGCCGCCGCCGCCGCCGCCGCCGGCATCGTCGGGGCGCTCTGATTTCCCTATGGAGACGGCGACCAGCGACGCGAAAGCGGAGAAGAAGGCCGAGTTCGGGGCGTCGGAGATAGAGTACGCGAGCTACGGCGGAGAGCACCACCTCCCCCTCATCATGAGCCTCGTCGACCACGAGCTCAGCGAGCCCTACTCCATCTTCACCTACCGCTACTTCGTCTACCTCTGGCCTCAGCTCTCCTTCCTGGTACCCTCCCTCCCTCCCTCCCCTCCCTCTTCAAAGTTTCCAGCATTCGCTGTTCAATTTCGCTTAGCTCGTGCGCTCGTGTGGGGGTCTTCGTGTCAGTCAGGCGTTCCACAAGGGCAAGTGCGTGGGGACCGTGGTGTGCAAGATGGGCGAGCATCGAAGCACCTACCGAGGTTACATTGCCATGCTGGTCGTCATCAAGCCCTACCGAGGGAAAGGCATAGGTAGCTGTCCGAACTTGTGAACTCTGGTTGCGTTGATCGGGGTGAGGTGTGATCCTCTCTCGAGCTTGATTGCTTGTGATGTGAAGACTGAAAGAGTTTTTGTTTGCATCAGAAATGCTTGTGAAATGTTCTGTTGCTGTGATGCAATGAAATGAATGGCAACCCGGTTGACCAAATTCGTCTCTTGCGTTATCGTATTTTCCTTGCTTGCATTTCTTTCTTCTGTGTTTTTCGACGGATGTAAAGTCGAGGTGCCGCTTTTTTCTTCTCGTTGCAGCCACGGAACTCGTGAGTAGATCTATCAGAGTCATGAAGGAGTCTGGCTGCGAAGAGGTAATTTGACATGGCTCTCGAGCTTTTCAACAATGAGCTTAGTGTTTAGTTCTTAATTTGAGTAATGATTACGCATTCCAGCAGTAGGGCTGTGGGAGGAAAAATCTTTCTTCCTCTGCGGTTTTGTGATCAATACTCATGTATGTCCAATTAAATTAATTTATTAATTGGAAGTAGACATGCATCTCAATCATGACTGCTCGTGGAGATGAAGTGTTTCAATCGCTGGAGCATGCTATAATTCCCTTGCTTTTGATTTGTCTTTATATCATTCTTCTGTTTGGGAAATGGGATGGTCATGGGAAGTTTAAGAGAAGAGAATTCTGGGCTAAAAAATGTTTTCTAGGCATCTTCTCCCGTAATCATCTATCAGTATGAATAGCATGGCCTAATCCGGCTTTGGACATTTTGTTGTCATCTACATTTGAAAGATCTAGTCTCTGCCTTAGCTTTCTGATAATATGCAAAAGAACGGTACGCAACTAAGCGGATAAGTTGTTCTTTTCTAATCATGTCGGATAAGTTACCAGTTAAAACTGGATGAATTATGTTTTCTTCATAGATAGTCCTAGTTGGTTACTATTTAATGGGACTAGGGATGGCAATTTCCAACACGACAAGGCAATACGACTGGAACAAGATCTGGAGTTAGCGGGTTTGGGTTGAGGCTACTCGTGTTCGGGTCAATTTCGTGTCAATCCGCAAGACACGATTAATAATCATGTTGCGTTCGTTCAAATCCACTAGACTCGAAATTAACTCGTATAACAAGTTAGTGTCGACGCTAACTCGTGCTCTGGTCAATTTCTGTAAGCTTCATTAACTCTGGAATAGAAAGATAAAAGCAGTTCATATGGACTTTAAAAGTTTCACACCCAACTTCCAATAGGAGTTATGAAGCTTAACTTGACACATGGATCCTGCTTCAAACAAAAGTAAGAAACATTAAATCGTACTCCAAAAAGAAACTAACTAAAACTCTAATAGAACTCAAATCCTACTATATTTGACTGCTAATTTCAACTACGAGAAAAGGCCTAATCTAATTAGAACTTTTCTTTTAGTAGTCAATTGATGTACATCAATCATTGAACATCTATTGACTTGATTGATCTTGTAGCCTGCATTAACAGTGTTTCATTGCTTTCTCGTGTTTATACAAATAATGAGACCTTTCCGTCCATATTTACTGTTGTAAGCATGTGGATCTTTCAGCAGCCAATGTTCAGATCTGTATTGTGTTCTGAAACTGATTTTCCACTCAATTGGAGTGCCCTAGGTGTTTTTTTTTTCGGGGTGAAGACCCTAGGTGTTTGAAATGCTTGAATTTGTAAAACGATTGTCGGGCAACCTATTTTTTAAATCTTTTGTTGGCCCAAGAAGAAGGGTTTGATCCATGTGTGGGGGTTGAGTATGTTCACATGATTCTCAATGTTCCCTTTTTGTCTTCTGAATTAACCTAGAAGGAGATTATAGGAAAGACCTAATTCTTAATGCACTTTCACACTCATTGGTGGCAGTGATGTGATATTTTCAGCATATTATATGAAAGAACTCCCGAATACTCTTAGTTGAAACTTTCAGGGTAGTGTAGAATGTTTCTCATGTTATAGGCTAAGTTGGTCTGGAGGTAGATTGCTCGTGTCTCATGACTTTCTCTCCATCTTATTTCTTGTTCTGGAAGGTGACTTTGGAAGCAGAAGTCACAAATAAAGGAGCCCTGGCACTTTATGGTCGTCTTGGATTCATTAGGGCCAAGAGGCTCTTCCGATACTATCTGAATGGAGTCGATGCATTCCGTTTAAAGTTGCTATTTCCACAGCCTGAGCTACACCCTTCTCTGGTTATGATGGCGAACGATGACGATAGTCAGAGGCATGCTGCTAACAGCCCACAAGAAGAGTTCCCTGAGCAACAAGAAAGGTTTTAGCATGTACATCATTTTCCTTTTATATGGAAATTATAGATGTTTCACTTTATGGAAATTTTGTTTTGCACGAAGGTAATTATGTGGTCTCTGAAACTGCTGGTCTTAGTTGTATGTCCTAAATCAGTTCTCTGCATGCTTCAGAATGCCCCAGGGGCTATATATGATGTTTTTGTTGCATTTCCAGGGTCTATTCTTCTATGGTGGAAAGTGTCGGCAATAAGTGAAGGAGACAGGTGGAATGAGGAATCGTTTGAAAGTGCTGGCCTTGAACCTGTTCCATTATAGATGATCTTCCTGGTAAGCTTGACTCGTCCAAGGACAGTTCTTGTATACAATTCTAATTCAATTTTGGTTCTTTTATGCTCCAATTTCGGAGATCAAATCAGATTTCCTATTCTATTGATCATACTGCAACTTGCAATATCGCGTTAGTAGATAATTTCAAATTGGTCTATTTGATTACCGTCTCTGTTCTTTAGTCTCCATTTCCTTTTCTCATTCCTATAAAAAGAAGATTAGGGATAGAGGAGTCTAGTCTAGCACGCCAAAAGAGAAGTTAAGACAGCTCTCAGTAAGTCGTTAATGCTTGTTAATGTTTTGAATTTTATAATAAAATGGGGGGACGCTCATGCATAAAATTAATCATATAATATCTGATTCTCTAACATCCTAATATTAAATATTGAAAAGCCACGAAATTAGCTTTGCTATATCAGCTTCGGAGGATGATGTCAACCTAGGAGTTTCTTTTCCTTTTCATTTGGATGTAATATCACGTTATTATCTTTGCTATTACCCATTTGGTGGACAAAGTGTCAACCTTTGGGAGCTCCCTTTCAGTACGTTTTTGTTGGATTTTAGATACCTCTATGATCTAGAGGTGATCATTGGACAGGCTCGGGCCGGGGCCGAAAGTCTGGCTTAATTTTTTGCCCATTCCCTCTTGTAACATAAAATGTTCGAGCCGGGCACGGGCCAAAGTTGGGGTAGCCGGGCTTTCTTGTGTGAGGATGGTGTTGTCGAAGGTCGGCCATTGTTCTTTCAGGGCTCTGGGGCCTGAGTCGACCAAGCAGTCTACCTATCTGCTGATAATCTTTTCTCTCGTACCCATCACCTAGATATGGGTTGTTGCACCGTAGTGAGTATTGTGTAACCTTAAATAATTATGACACGTTTTAAAGTTGTGCTTGTGCGGGCAAGCTGATCAGAGTGGATAAAATCAAGTTGGCGATGGGCCAGGGTGAGGTTGTCTACTGGACTCGTCAAACGAGTGGGTCAGGTCGTATTCGAGTCAGGTGGAAAATGGTCTGACCTAAGTTGATTCATTTAATTTGTTTTGATTCATTTTTATGCAATATAAATCTAGCAATACATATCCGACTTATATTGCTAAAATATTTCCATATTTAACATAATCTAGGAAATTTCATGCTCAAACTGAGGTGAGTGCGCAAAATCGAGTGAGGGCGGGAGAGAGTGAAGAGAGGTGAGTTGAGTCTAAGTAAGTTGTAAGTTCATTTAACATCTATGTTATTTTAGGTTTTACCATTCTAAATCTATTTATAACCCATTTGATGAATATATTTAACTCATATAAAAACTCAGTCTATTAAATGTGGGTCGAGAAATTGGTTCATGGCCCATTTTGACAAGTGTATCTCCTCACGTCAACACCATTGGAGTTAAGGTGGAGATTTTGTGGAGATTTTGGGTTGCAGACACTATTCCCACATTGCCTATATATGGGTTGTTGGGATTATAAAGAAATTTTGCGTAACTTTAAACTAGCATCACGTGTTTTCAAGGGAAAAGTACTAAAAAAGTTAAACTTATTGTACTGATACTAATTCAGTATTAAACCTTTTAATCAAGCCAATTTAGTCTTAAATCTTTTCAAATATGTACCAATTCAGTCCATCCGATCAATTTAGGCCGCAAATCACTAATGTGGATGTCGGTAGTCCGATGAGGCGCTAACGTGTGTATTTTCTTTTATAGTTTTTTAATAATTTTTTCAAATTTTTTTCTTTCCCTTCTCTTTCTACTAGTGGTCGGTTGTTGGCAACTGGCCCCACGCGAGGGTTGACCTCGCCGGGCTACACTTGGGTGAGGGGAAGCGTTGGCGAGGCCCCCCTCGCCCAATCCAGGGCGACCTCGCTTTGGGCAAGGGCGAGGCTTGACGAGCACTCAAGCTTTGTCCATGGCAGCTGACATCCATGTCAAGGAAGATGACGATGAGGGCTTCGGGGACTTTGCCTTTGCCTCAAGCTTTATGGCCACTGCCTCCATTTTCTAGCGGCGGCGGAGTCTTCGCCTTTCAGAATGATGATGATTGGTCCGATTTTGTCAGCTCTGGCCCGATCTTGTCTTCTAATCCATAGTCGATCCTTCGAGCACATCGAGGCTCGCCGGGCCTCGCCCTCGTTAGATCTGGCAAGGGAGGTCTGGCCGACACTTGCCCTTGCCCAAGCGTAGCTCGGTGAGATCGATCCCCGCCTATGGCGATAGAAGGTAAGGGAAAGAAAGAAAAAAATTCGAAAAAATCATTAAAAAATTATAAAAAATGGCATTAACTTCAACAATTTTCGGCATAAATTGGCTGTATGGATTGAAATAGTACCAATGTGAAAATGTTTGGGATTATATTAACCCAATTGAAAGGTTTAAGATTGAATTGGTACCAATATAATAAATTTATGACTTTTTTGGGTACTTTTTCCTATTTTCAAGCCATGTTGCTACGGGTGAGCCGCTGCCAACACGGGTAACACTGTATTGTTTACGGGTCTAGGTGAGGATGTCTGCTACATTTTCTTTCTTTTTCACCTCTATGTAGTCATCTTTAAAAAGGAAAAAGGCATCCAAGAAACATAAGAATGAAAGCTGATTTGTAAATTTGATTTAGCTAATAATTTCCGGTTTCTATGAAGAAGAATGTCTTTTTATATTCAAAGTTAACTTTGCAGGAGGTGTGTACAACAAGTATCAAAGTTTTGACAATATGGCTCAGGACTAGGGGTGCCTTTGTTATATTAAAATTTGATGATAAAGAAAAGTATTTTCTATGAATCCATTTATTTTGTGGTTTAAGAAAAGTGATTTGTTCTTATCAGAAGGGGAAGTCGTTTTCTTCCAATCTAATCTGAATTTGTTGTTCTCAATTCATGAAAAACGTTTTTCGTAGATCGATTAATTTTTGGTTATCAAAACACAAAAAATTTGAAAAACAATTTTCAAAATATAATTTTTCTTCAAACAAATGGACCATTAGATTCATTTCTCTCATCTCGTGATTCTTAGCTCTCCTAACAAGTCTTGTAATCATCGAACAATGACTTGAACGCGGTAGTAAGTATTTTGCCCTCTAACTCCTCACCCATCTCAAAAAAACAACGCGATGTTCACATTGTATAAGTTCCCTTACTACTTGTCAATCTAGTTCATCATCTTTCCAACCATAAAAGCCAAAGCAGAATCATCCCCGTCGCACTGCTTCCGCATATACTCACCGAATCGAAGCGCCAACACACCCATACCAAGATTGTTAGCGACATCAAACGAGCCGGACACTCGCGAAGCAATACCACAGGATGCTTGAGGAAAAAGCGTGCTAGCGCGTCACATACTCCCCAATCATCAAAAGCAGGAGGCAACCAACCCCCCCTCTTGCCCGTTCGGCCATCGGCGCTCGAGACGCTAACCTTTCTTCCAATTTATAGATCGAGCATATGTCATTAGGGTTTTGTTAACGAGTGCCCAGTGAACACCAGCCGGGGCAAAAGTAATTAATTAAAGAAGGGTTTCCAGTTTTCGGTATATTTTGTTCTCCTCTCGGTGCGCGCGCCGATTTACCGTCTTGAAAATTGAAACGTTCTCGAAGTAATACATCCCCCACTAATAAATGACCGGAAGACATTTTGCAGCAGAAGACGAAGACGAAGACGAGACCCCCGAGTTTTATCAAATCCCATTTAGAGAAAAGGAGCTCCCGAATTTACGAAAACGCCCACCTCCGTACCTGGGCGCGCGTCCTGCACCCGCTGCGAAAATGCCCGAACGCAAAGGCCGAATTTGGACAGGGGCACGACCGGCGTGTGCCGGGGCTGCGCTTCCCCGCCGCGCGGGTCTCACCTACGCCCGCGACCGCGACCCGCATCGGGGCCCTTCGTTCCGTCCGGTAACCCCCACCCCCCCTGATAAAGTCAAGGGTCTCGACGGTTCTGATTTCGAACCCCTTTCGATCAAGCCACGGCCGTGGCACTGGCACCCCCTCCCTCCCCATGTCCTACGCCCGGGCGCAGAGAATCGCGGCCCTTCCCCCGGCCCGCGCCTCACGGAAAATGGGAGGGGAGGGAGGGAGGCGAAACGCGAAAGCGGGAATTAAACGAGCAAAAACAAAAAAGCAGAAAATCAATAAAAAGAAAAAAGAGAGAAAAAGAAAGTCGCTCGATTTTCATGTTTTTCTCCGATTCCGATTTAATCCTCCAAAATTGCAAAAAAAGAAAAAAAGGAAGAAAAAGCAGGAGGAAAGGAACATCGCGCCAGTGCTCGCTCGCTGGCTCACCAGATCAACGCTGTCCATTTCGCACCATTTCCTCTCGAGATTAGCGCTTCAGGAACGAAGCAGCAAAAGGAGGAAGAAGAAGAAGAAGAAGGAGAAGAAGGAGAAGAAGAAGCAGCTGCTGCAGCGAAGAGCAATCCCTTCTCCTTCTTCTCTCTTCCTCTTCTCCTCCTCGCGCTCCTCCTCCTCGCGCTCCTCCGCAGCGAGCCCCCTGCGATTTCGGTCCGCGAGCATTGCGCATTTCCCGGTGCCTCCCCCGTCTCGATTCTCGCTTTCCGGGGAAAAAGCCTGATTTCAGGGAGCGATGGTGGCCCCGTCGCTTCAGTGCATGGGCTCGCTGTCGGGCGACGAGCTGGAGGGCAACGGCGGCTCCGGGGTCGTCGCCTCGGGCGCCGGCCGCGGCAAGAGCCCCGCGACGGGGGGCGAGGGCAAGAAGGAGGGGGCCGGCGACCGCGCGAAGGAGAAGGAGAAGGAGAACGAGAAGGGCGAGGCGGAGCCGAAGGGAGAGCCGGAGCGGGAGCGCGATGATTCGCCGAGGCCGGGGACGCAGAGGCGGTGCAGCGCGAGGATCCAGACGAAGCAGAGGGCCGAGAAGGAGCTCCTGGTGCGTCGGAGGGTGGAGCTCCTGGACAACAGCGACGAGGCCCCGGCCGCCGGCAAGAGGCGCAATGTGGGAGGTAGGAGGAGGTCGGGAGGGGAGAGCGCGAGAGAGGAGGAGGAGGAGGAGGAGGGCCCGAAGGTCGAGGAGACCGCGGCGGAGACCGTCGAGGGTAGGGAGAACGGCGGCGTCGTCGTCGTCGTCGTCGGCGTCGAGGCGGCGAATGCGGGTTCGGGCGCGGAAAGGGAAAGCCAGGTCGCGGGCGGTGGCGATAATGGGGCGAGTATGGTGGAGAAGAGTGACTTTGCCAAGGTCAAGGAGACTCTTAGGTTGTTCAACAAGCATTATCTTCACTTTGTTCAGGTCAGTTTTCGATTGCTTCCTTCTTTTTGGACGACTCGGCCGTAGCTATGTACTCATCTTTTCACTCGGCCCACTTCGGTGTTCTTGCTTTAAATGACATTGTCTGCCCAATGGCTATCAGGAAGAGGAGAAACGATGTAACAAAGAGAAAGCGGAAAGCTCAAAAGGGTCGCAGAAACCTAAATCCAAATCCAAATCTAAGGTTAGTGTCCGCTTCACCGATTTCCATTTTGAGACTGTTGTCGCCTCCGTGGTGTGTGGGCTAGGTTCTATTGATGAACGACTCGACCATGGTTTTTGCCATTGTCATTTATGTGAAAATTTATAGAATGAGATGTCATTACGTGTTTATATGACCTCATCTTCTCTTGATTAGGAACAACAAAAAGGTTCAAAGCAATCTAAATCTAACTCCAAGGTCAGTGTCCTCTTCATCATTTTCTTTGTAGTCTCGTATCATGTTATAGCTGCGGCACTTTTGTCGGATTCCTGTTCATTTCAACTCCTGATATGTTGTTTAGGCAGTTTCCTTTTATCTCTTTGATTCTACAAGGATTGTAGTGCCTGAACTATATTGGACCGCATGAGTTTTTCTGGGTTTTTAATTACATCATGCTCCCTGTTGAGGATAGCTTTATGTTCTTTTTAAACAAAGCTGAAGGTGTTACCGCCTTTTGTATCAGCGCTCCTGTGTGGCATAAACTGAGTATCGGTGATATCTAGTTCTGGTCCTTTACTTCTTTAGCATTCTTGCTTTGGATAATGATTGTCACAGCTTCACAACATTACTTATGTGCTAGCTACATGTACTGTGCACACGTACATATCTATGTTGTTCTTACTATACTCATATTTTTTAAGTCTTGGCAGTGCATAGATATCCTGCATCACACGCAGTTAGGCTGAATAATGTATTTTGAAATTCTAGGTCTACTTATCTCACATTTTTCCATGAGTAAATTTTTTCTACCATTCTGTATCAAGTTCCTGATTATTTCTTCTATCAAATTGGAAATTGATCTTTCCTCTCTTGTTAGTGAAATGCTTTGTTGTCATTTTTTTTGGAACCGTTTTTCTTGTGGTGTTATCCCCATTGTAGAATATAAATGCTGAACAAAAGCACTTCTTGCTTTGTGGTGATAAGTGATATCATCTTATATGTAGTTGTTTTGATACTTATTGGACATCTCTCCAAGAATGATGCAGAAAGGAAATTCAACAGAAGGAGAAACCAAGAAATTAGCCATGAGGCCTGATTTGAAGGCAATATCCAAGGCACGTCGACATGATCGTATTTTTTCATAGGGTCTATCAGTGGTTACTTCTACTTTTAATTTCTGACTTTTTGTAAATTATGCGGATCACACTTTGACTTCTATTTAATTCAGAGCACTTGAAACATTTCAAAAAATGACAAGTGGAATTATGTATTGTTTTTCACAACTTAAGTAATGTATATATGTATATTTAATTTTGAAAGAAGAATCATAAGTAGAAGTCAGAAGTAACTGTGCATGCTTTGATTCTTTCATAGTACTTCAATTTTTCTGACAATTGTAGCTCCCGGTGTTCACGCGATATGATTTCTTCTCTAATGTCTTGGATCCCTCTCAAGCTTGCTGCTCTTGCATTGCTTATCCTTATTTTTTGGAAAAAAGAAGATTGTGGTCGTGTGTTGTAACAATGTGACTCACTCATTCATTTTCTAATCTCAGATGATGGAGACCAATTGTGTGTTACATCCTAAGAAAAGGTTCGGTAATATTCCGGGTAGGTGGTTTGCATTGTTATGTTTACTCAATGATGATTTTGGTCTTGGTTAGGACTTTTAAGTTTTACGATAGTTGGGATCTATATATATGATCTTGACATGAATATACGCAATAAACTTCTGTGAGTTTTGTATGTTGCTTTGAATGTCAGGTATTAATGTTGGCCATCAGTTCTTTTCACGAGCTGAAATGGTTGTCGTAGGATTTCATAGTCATTGGTTGAATGGTATCGACTATATGGGCCAAGCATATAGAAAGGTAATGACTGTTTATTCCCTTCTATTGGTCTTTTGAAGAGCTGGAATCATAAATTTCATTAAATTTCGGTAATTGTCTTTGGGTCTATTAGTCGATTGAATGAGGAGTGTTTACTTTTCGAATTTTGAATAGTGAATTGATTATTAAGAGGGGATTCTCCAGCTCTCTTTTCTCCGCACTGTTTGTTTGAACATATATATCTTTTTGGTTCTCCATGGTTAAGGTTGGGGTAAGTTTTTTGCTTATTGGAACTTTTGCCATTAGTAAGTGCTCTTAGTGCCAGCATTTAATGAGGTACATCAATTATTGAAATCACATTTTAGCGCGATGACTTAGGCAGTGGTCGGTGTGGTGTTGGCTTTTGGCAATGGCCTTTTCACTTAAGCAGTAGTTTAGTGCAGTATTTGAGAGACTTGATTTTTAAGTCATAACTGACTATGCCTTATATTGGATAATACTAACATTACCCTCTCCAATACTGAATTGATTATAAAGATACTAGGATGGGGTCTGTTTGTAGTTACGGTTATTTTTATCTTTTACTTCATATAAATTTTGCAACTCTCATCATTTGACTTCTATTTATTGGGTAAGACCCGAAACTTTTCAAAATACACAACGATTGATATACAGAATCACATATAATTCTTTCACAGTTTTTAAAACTTAAAACATTTCTTTCCTTTTTCAATTCCTGGAGGGAAAATAAAATGTAGGAAAAATCACCTTGTTAAGTGTAGATATGCATACCCTGAGTAATTTAGTTCTTCTTTTAATTAGTCTTTCGGATCATAAATCAAGTACTTCTTTTTTTCTCTTGTATTTTGTGCTTTTCAGATTTTGTTGACATACTATAATAGTTTAGCCAAATGACAAAAAGAAATGTCAAGGAGGGTGGATGACCTTCTTGGCTTTTACAATCGGAAGCACTAGTTAATTCTCTTGCCAAATATAACTTTAAATAGAAGAAAAAAACTGGGGGAGGTTGAGTTCCCCCTCCCAATGCACACTTGATCCAGTGGTGCAGAAGGTGCATGTTCTAGCTTTTGTTTTGGAGTTGTAACTTACTAGATCTCATCTATCCGAAGGAAATCAAAAAGGCAAACAAAAAAAACCTCCTCCCGCTAGTTGGGTTAGTTACCTCAATTCTCTCACTGTTGCACCCAACCTATTATCATCTCCTCTTGAGATTTGTAAACTTCAAGATCATTCAGCTTATTTTTGGGACAGAGGGAGGTGAAGAAAAAGAGGGGAGAAGGCGCCCAATTTTGAATTTTCCCTCCTCTCCATGAGGTGTCCTTGACGTCATCCAGGTTGCTCATTTTATGTGATGGAAGGTTTGCTGTTGGAAAAAAAAAATTGTGCTCGATTGTCACTAGTAACAACATCTGATTTAATAATATTATCCAAAAGGGCTTAAACAGCAATTTAGTTGGCTTCAATATAATTGATTGATAAAAATTTTAGGGTTCAAGTATCCTTTGGATGTTAGCTATGGAGTATCTTTGAGTAATTGGGGTGCGGAATGGAAAGGGACTTGTCAAGAGAAATTTATGTCTGTAAAAGCATTAGAGGGAGAAGGGATAATGATAACTGGCCTACCTCTCTAAGCGAATTAAGTTAGGGTTGCCGGGAAGCTCTTGTTGCTATAGAAAATGATGCCATAAGGCAGTGGTGAGAGAAAGATTATGACAGCAACGATTGATATTTTAGCACATTGAAGAGGTTTTGTGAAAAGTCATTCCTCAATGAGCCTTATTCTCCAATGAGCCTTATTTCAAGTTCAATAAGTGCAATTTTTCTGGAACACCCTATAAAGACTTTGAATAACTCTTGGTCCTCTAAGTCTTCATACAAATGCCATTTGTGGCACATCTTCCTACTATATATGTTTTGGTGATGGGGAGAGTGAAGATGGGCGGCCTTGTCAAAATTGACCGTACTAGTCTGTAATTATGGATTCTATGCATCTACTTCTTGCTTGGTAGATTATCTGTTGAATTTCTTTCGTTGTTAGAATTGTGGGACAGTTACAGTGCGATTCTTTGGTTCTTGGTTGTCATTGAATACCGTGTATAGTTATGAATTATTTGACAAGCCCTGTTAATAAGTAAACTGTCTACTGAGAGAACTCTTGCTCTATTCAAGCTTTTATTTTTGCAATACTACTTTATATTTTATGACTTGTTGCCTCGGGAGCTTTTGTTTTTCAAACACATTATTTGCTTCTTGGTAGATGTGTTGAAACTGCTTTGAAGTGCACAAAAAATGAAGCCGGTGGTTATGTGAGTTTGTTGCAGGAATACAGTAATTACACATTCCCCGTTGCTGTGGCAATAGTTCTGTCCGGAATGTACGAGGATGATCAGGATAATGCTGATGACGTTGTATATACTGGTCAAGGTGGGCACAATCTTACCGGTGATAAGCGTCAGATTCGGGATCAAGTATTAGAGCGTGGTAATTTGGCTCTAAAGGTATGCAGATCATTCTGTCTCCAGTATCTCTTTCTTTTCCTTTCTGAAATGCTTGCCCTTGCTAGGAGCTTCATTTCCAAACTGTTTTTCCTTTCCTTTTCTTTATTTGTAGCTTGTGGAACGTTTACATTGAGGCTAATTACTATAAGATGAGGCTCTAATCCTCTTTTATCTGTTTGACTCATTGTAGGTTAATTTGCCTGCACACTGATGTTTTTAGTTCATATCATGTCGATTGTCTTATTTACAATATGATCATATCAATGGTTTTGTGATGTTATATAAATGCTACGATTTCCGATTTTCATCTTTTCCTTGATAAGGATGGCATCGTTTATACCATCTTATTGTCCTTTCAATATGATTTGAGATGTCAAATATGAAACCTGATTCTCTTCGTTTCCATAATTGTTAAGGGTGGGTTCGAATGTCCTCTTTAAGTCTCTTCTTAGAAACTTCTTTTCCTGGGCAAGTAAAATAAATCTCTTATTGGCATCTGATAAAAATTGGAGTAATTTATGGTCAACATTTGCTATTGCAGAATTGCGTTGACCAAAATGTGCCAGTCAGAGTGGTACGTGGTCATGAATCTAGAAGCAGCTACTGTGGCAAACTTTATACATATGATGGACTGTATAAGGTACCAAGACTGTTCAGTGAAAGAGGTTCCATTATTTGCTAGTCAGATAGTTTCTGCTGTGGAACGTCAAATCTTCATCGCCTCAAACTTTTTCAAATATTATTTCTTTACAAAAGGAAACATGCTGGTCCATTTTCACATGCACCAGCATGCATGTGCACACGCAATGCTTTATGAACTGTGAAATCAGTTTAGAAGGCGCACAATGCATTGAAATTGTGTAGATATATGATGTCTACAAGCACATTTTATTTTTTTCTGCTCTATAGGTTGTTAAGTACTGGGCGGAGAAGGGTTTATCTGGATATACTGTCTTCAAATTTCGGTTAAGGAGGATGCCAGGGCAGCCCATGTTGACTACTAATCAGGTCTGTGATTGTCTTATATTCGATTGTTTGAGCTTGTTTAGTATCAGTCATTGAGCCTACTTCATACATCCATGTAAATGTATATTTTGGATTATCTGCTTCCTTCCATTTTTTGATGGTGGGAGAATTTCTAAGGCCTTTAGGCAAAGCGAAGCAGTGCCTGCATAATATTGGGCATTAAAGGCACGGTGACTCTCGTGAAAAGTAAAACAAAAAGAAACACGTGCAAAATAAGAGCTTTAAGAAGTCTATTGCATCGCAACAATGAAAATAAGTAAGCATTACAAAGGTGCGAATCATGTGAAGGATGGAAAGAAGTACTATAACATATATTATTCTTCTGATCATGTAAGAGTACATTGACCACCCAAAAAGGGGAAAATACAAAAACCTCAGTAAGAATCTTCTATTTGATTGCCTGGTATTAGCTAGTACGTTTCATTGTTTCTTTAAACCTGAACATGTTGTTGAGGTTGATTAAAAAATACTTGTCCAATCAGTAGCAAGAAATGCGTTAAAATTAAGTTAATTATACATATCATCAGTAAAAACCCATGCAGTGGTTTAAGTGATTCTAGATGATGACATGGCCAATGTGAAGGGTACTTGTCTGCAGAATAGTTTCTGTGGGTTTTAATCTTCTTGAACATTTATTACATTTATGATGTGTAATTGCCATTTTCAAAAATTTATGCTCGTGTAGTTCTCTGTATATATCCTGGCTAACTTTTGAAGAAAGTTTTTTTAGAGGAGGAACATATATAAGATAAACTTGCTTGTTGATTTTTATAAATAGGCTTGAATACCTTGGAAACAAAAATAATTTGTGTAGTCAAAGACAGACCTAAGGGGAAAGATTGAAAGATGACCGAGGAAAAAAGTGCAAAAGAAGCACACTTCCAAGATGAGAGAGATTTGGTAACTTCAGATTAGGAGGTAGTGATAGATTTGTGTAAAATAGGTCAGAATCATTCAACTATCTCAAACATAAGAGAACAACCAGAAGAAAATGCGCCTTAGCCGAAGGAGAGGATGGAAAATGACCTAAAGATTTTGTTCAACGCACGTAAGGCAAAAACTGAATGCAGAATGGGACCTGCTGAGGGAAGGAGGGAGGGAGGTTTTGTAGTTTTAATATTTATTTAGTTGCGACCTTTTTTGCTTATCAAAATAAGTACTTCTAGTGGGGAAATCAGTTTGGAATTACATTCTATTCAGGTTGTACCCAAGTCTTGGTTTGTGCTGAAGCCTCCCTTTCTGTTTTCGAGAGGTGGCATCCACTCTATGAATGCAAGTTCCAATTCATGGATAAAACAACTATTAGTGTTTATGGTTCATGTTCAGTATTTATACTTAATTACCATGTAATTACTGTCAACATGGTTGTAAATTGATTGATCTCTTTTTTAATTGTTTGTCTCCCCAATGGCAGGTTCAGTTTGTATACGGTCGCGTTCCTAACTCTGTGTCAGAAATACGTGGGTATGATACTTATAAACTCTAAAATGGGGAAAAGAATCTTTTATAACGAAAATTTAAAAAATATCTCACTGTATTTGTTGTATAAGATTGGTATGCGAGGATATCACAGGGGGCACGGAGGATATTCCTATACCGGCTACAAATTTAGTGGACGATCCTCCTGTTCCACCTTCAGGCAAGTAATTAAAACATTCTTGTGCATTTAAGTATGGAAGCTATGAATAGTCAAATCTGTTGGAGTAGTACTAGTTGATAGCATGCCATGGGGTTGTGTTACGTCTTATTCTTTGGATGAAGGTTAACTCAGGTGAAATTGATCGGCGTGTCATATAGTTGTAGCATGTCCTGTCGGTAGTGGGTTGTCTTACGAATACAACTTTTATTGAGAGAGAGCAAACCCTGCTAGGGATTTGGTTGTTCTGCATGCCTTTTGAGATCGGATCAGAGAGATTGGAAGAAGAGAGATCCGAGAGATACTAGTCAGAGATGGTGGCGGAGGCAACAGGGTGCCTGCGCTGCATGGCGGCGAGTGACATAAACATTGGCGGATGTAGGCTACGTTCCCAGAATGGCGTTAATTTTGTACTTGCACTGATAGTGCCTCACAACCACGTAGGAGAGAGGATAATGAAATAAGCCATGGAGGGTTTTTCCTTTAGCCTAAAGTGGACAGAGCTGATAGAGATATTTGTTTGCACAATGTATACAAGCATCAGGAGTTAATCACACGATTTGAATATCTTACAATTCAATTGCACTTTGGGTATAAATTGACTACCAATATGAACTAGCTTTGATGTTGGATTCTTATATTTCAGGATTCAAGTATGTCAAGACTATTCAAGTTGCAAAGAATATAATTCTTCCCTCAGCTTCCACAGGTTGCAAGTGCCGAGGAGGTTGCATTGATCCAAGGATCTGTTCTTGTGCTAAATTGAATGGTTCTGACTTTCCATATGTGCGGCGAGACGGTGGCAGGTGAGGATAATTGAATAATTTAATTATGATGATGGGTCGACTCCATTAATGTACTATAGTTCGTATGACCAAATACAGTTCTCTTGCTTGTCAATTGAGAGAAGATCCCCTGCAGATATGGTGCTTGTTGGTTAATACCTCAAGTTTATCACTTGTCATAAACTGAGAGACTCCTTGGTTTAAGTGTGATGTATATCAAGATCCTAATGTGTGAGGAAGCTGAGCTCGGCGGCAACAATGTGAATTGCTGTCTCGGTTTTTCGATGGTGTGATTTCTTAGTGTTTCTTTCTTTTTTGGCTTATCAGCTAACAATCATCCTTCTCTTGATGTGGCCCAACTCATGCGAGTTTTTTTGTCAGTAAATAAATATCTTTCGTAAATGACTTTATGTTTCTTGATTTGCATAATCAAATTGGCCTTTGAGTCTTGGAGTTTGATATTATGTTTCTTATTTCTGTTATAAGTAATTAACTGGGAGTAAGATTTTCAAAAGAGTACATATACAGTTGTAGTTCTTTCTATCTACAAAGTTGATGAATTATTGTATTTTGTCAAGTCTATGCTTTGGAATATTGTCATGAGATTCTTCTTAACGTAATGCTATAGAAACCCCACATGTGATATTTAAGAAGCTTTGGATGTGGCGTTTAAAGGAATTTACTTGTTTTGAGTTATCATTTGTCGTGTTTTTTCTTCAATTTTGTATTAAATCAGGCTCACTAGTTAGGATTCTTGGTCCTACTTAAGTTTGGCTGTGGAGCTGGGTTTCTATAAGCTATGATTTGTAATTCTTCTCCCACAATGGTGAACAACACTGCGTTGAACTCCAAGTTTGGTGAATTGAACTCCAAGTTTGACACTTTGCTTAAGGATCATCAGAATGCAAATACAAGACTCACACTCATAATATATGAGCTCTTTTAGCAACGGAAGGGTGGAATTGATTAGCTTTCTGAACAAGTAAGGAAGTTTGTCCTTGCTATAGGAGTGCAACCAAACGGAATGACCGTTGACAAAGTCCCTTGTGAATTTGAAAATTCTGAAAGTGGCCTAAATCTTCAATGTTAGAAAATTCCATGGTTAAGGATGAAGATCTTGAGTTACATAACACTTTAAGTAGTCACGAGAAGATTAAGGATGTTGATGAATCAAGCATGTAAGTCAGCTTGAATCCTGCCTGGTTTTTGTTGGGAGAACTAGGCATTGCTGCTTATCGATGTTCAATGAAAGTGCATTTTGGGCAGAAGAAGAAAGAATCAGATAATGGCGGAAATCCCGCAAGCATAGTTAAGGATATTGATTTTGTTGATGCCATCCAAGTTGAAGCATTCAAACAAGGATATTATTCCACAAGTCTTAGAGTATGCTCTGAGTAAAGAGTGAATGTTATTTGGCTTCAATTTTGGAGCATAGGATGATTAGGATGAAATTGCTAGATCCAATTGTTCACTATTTCAAACCTTGAGACTAGTTTTGTCCAACTGGGGAGAATGACGTGCAATCCACAAGATTGATCAAGTCTCTATTTGTTTCTAAGTTTCGATTATTGTTGAGCTTTGGTGGGGATGGAAGATCACATCAATTCTTATCTCGAATAAGTGTCCTAGTTTGATGAGGATTCTTCTCTAAATTTAATTAGAGGTCTTGACTCTTATCTGTTAGGATTTTAGAAAGTTTCTATGTTTTTTATTTATTTATTTAGAGTGGAGTTTCTTTTTTACTTTTTAAGTCAGATTTATGTTTTTATCTGAGACTATTTGACTTGGGAATAGGATTTTCAGAAGAGTCTATGTATACGGTTTTAATTCTTTCTATTTAATAGATTTGACAATTTAATGAATCTAGCAAGTCTTTCTTTTCTGGAATTGTGTGATCCAAAGAAATCCTAGGAGTGATGTGAACAAAATTTTGGGTGTGATGCCTGAAGAAATTTCTTGTTTTGAGTTTATTCATTTTCTCTCTTGAAGTGGTTTTATTAAATCCAGTTCACGCCAGAACTTGTCGTCGTACATTATTCTCTCTCTCTCTCTCTCTCTCTCTCTCTCTCTCTGGGGTGGGTGGACGGATGAATGTAGAATTTACTGGTTATTTTGTGCTTTGCAGATTAATAGAAGCTAAGGATGTTGTTTACGAATGTGGCCCGAACTGTGGCTGTGGACCTGATTGTTTGAATCGGGTGTCTCAGAGAGGCATAAGATATCGTCTCGAGGTTGTATTTTGATTGAATGATATAAAATCCTTCCCAATGACATGTCGAGCCACTTCTTTTTCTTGGATTGACTTCTGCTCATGGATTCCAGGTGTTCCGAGCCCCACGAAAGGGTTGGGCTGTTAGATCATGGGACTTTATACCTTCCGGAGCACCGGTATGTGAATACATTGGTATTCTCAATAGGGCTGAAGACATGGAAAATGCCTCTGAGAATAACTACATTTTTGATATTGATTGCTTGCAAACCATGAGGGGTCTTGGTGGAAGGGAGGTTAGCATTGGATACTCTGCCTTTCATGTCAACATTCCACTTATTAAAGTTAAATGTGTACATGTAAACAAGCTACATACTTTCATTTTCACACAAGTTTGAAAAAAAATTTGTAACACATGTATATGTTGATGCAAATGTTGTATGGGAATAATTTACTATATGCAAAACGTATTTTGATGTTTTTGTATGTATTTTAGGTACATCATATTTCTTGATAGGGTGAATTAATTACTAATTCCCAAATTAATCTGGTTAATTAATATTTCCATAATGAATAGGGGGAAGAAAGGATGATAAAGCTTTTAGAGTGGGTACGATGGTAAATATAGAGTTAAGGTCAAAAAAATATAACAAGTACATGTACTTGATAAGGGCTTAGCAACTGCTCAAGTTAAGTATCCTTGAGCGTAAACTTAACTCGAGATCGATATTGAGCTAGTAGGATTCTAGAATTTGGCAAGCCGAACCCTGAGTAGCTTACTCTAGTTTGATTTAATTACACCATGAATATTAGCTGTCTTCAGGTAGTCATTAAAATACCTTTATTTTCTTTACCATATCAATTAACAATAACGAATTATTGTAAAAAGGTATGAAATCTTTCTTTTGATGGAGTTGTTGGTGTTTTTTTTTCCTTATTGATAAAAAAGTCATTAATTTGGATATGCTGTCTCTATTTAAATATTTCTGAGGATTGGTATGAACTTGCGATGATACAAGCTTTTCCTTTTTTTAATTGCTCTTGATTGCTTGAATAATATCCAGTCCATTAACCGGATAATTACACCGTGAATATTGTACTCAAAGTTTTAGAGTTTCAATTTTATCAAGTATGCATCTCATGGATGGATCTCAACTTCAAGATATAAGTGCTAGGCATTTGTGTCGCGGGGATAAAGTGATTGGTCATATATTTAAAGTTCCCTTAAAATTCTTGTTGTATTGTGCTGAAGTGTTATCCACATCACTTGCTTATGGATTATCATGGCCTTATGGCTTAAGCTTCGGGGTTAGACTTTTTACACAGTATTAAAAGTCAAGTTTCAGTCTGTCCCGTCAGTTTTAAGTTTATTTTGCATGTAGATCCCTGATCTGCAGTTGCACGTGTGCATTTGTATGGTTTCATTCCCATTTGCACATGAGAGAGGGTGTTAAATTTTATGCAACCTTACTTGTTTATGGGGTTGGGGTCTATCGTGATCTTATCTGCACGTACCTTCTTTCCTTTCATTAACTTAAGTTTTTTGACATTGTAATTTTAAACATTTTTAAATGGGAAATGACATTGCATTGGAAATGAACGGAGTATTTTCATCATCAGCATCAGTATTATGTGGTAGGTGGCATATCATCTACGATTAGCCCTTTCATTGCTTAAAATTGAAAGTCTTGAAATTTTGCTACCAATATGGAGGTTAGTTACCATGAAGGTCTTTGTACAGGAGAATAGTGCTTTGTTTTGGATATATATTTAAGATATCTAGATGGTTCAAAAGTTTGCTTGGCAACTTTTTTTCATCTAACTGTTTCACAAATTTGACAAGAGTTATGCAAGATCTATACACTGCTTCTTAGCATTGTCTTCTTAGACTGAAAGTTGAAAAAAGGAAATGCATGTTACTGTGTGAAAGCTAACTTCAAGTCATTGTCAAATGCATTTTCTGTCAAGAACAGCTGAAATGTGACTTCATGTTTCTCGTATTTCTTATCCATGATCAGAGGAGGTCACGAGATGCATCCTCTGAGACAGTTGATCAGATGCACAAGCATGATGACCAGAAATTCGAGGTCCCAGAGTTCTGCATCGATGCTGGTTCAGTTGGAAATATTGCCAGGTTTATCAATCATAGCTGCGAGCCTAATTTGTTTGTCCAATGTGTATTAAGTTCCCACCAAGACATTAAGCTGGCTAGGGTGGTGCTATTTGCAGCTGACAACATACCACCATTGCAGGTAGTTCGTTGTTCTGTCTCGTGATGCACTCTTCACATGGTAGCTGTTTAGACTCATTTAAATATATTCAGCAGTGTCAAGTTGTAGCTCTCTGTCTGTACTTCCGTGTGCGCTTACAAGATATAGGTGCATGCACATGGCTGCTACTCTGAAAGCCTTGTTTATTCACGTGAACTGAAGATGTGCTTGTGCAGATGCTGCATTGTTAGGAGAAGTAGACCTTTATTTACTTTTATTTTAGTAAAATTTTGCTGATAGATTTGTCGAAAGTGTGGACCACTGGTACTTCTAATTTCGAGAAACTGACATTATGGGTCTGTTCTAGTTTTGGTTGGCATGACTAACTTCCACTTATTTCGTTTGTAGGAGCTCACCTATGACTATGGCTATGAGCTTGATAGTGTTTTTGGCCCTGATGGAAAGGTGAAAAGAATGCCATGCTACTGTGGTGCTGCTGATTGTAGGAAGCGCTTGTTTTAAGACGCTAAATGTTTTCAAGCGCTTGTTTTACCTTCAGTGGTCCTTATGCTCCTTTGGCCACGTGAAATTTTTTGCCTAAGCTCGTTTATTCCTGTAATCTTGTTTCTGCTGTAACGGGGTAGATACAGTAGGTTAGGTTCTATAGCCAGAAACGGAAAGGGAAAAGGAAATAGGTTCTGTTGTGAAAATCAACGAAGTGCTTGTTGTCTGTCGGTTGTGGAAGTCATCTCATGTAGTTAGGATTTTGTCACTTTCCCGTGTTTCGACACTTCGGGCTTTGATTGCCCACCATATCTGCAAATGAAAATTCAGAGGTGAGAGGGGAAGCAACAAGAGTGCATTTCCCTTGCTAGAAAAAGGACTTTGATTTTGTAAAGCATGTGTGGTTACTGTTTTATATTGTAAAAGCCCTTTGATTTCCTTTCAAGTCACTCATGCCATGCGGTCACTTCAGAGTGTGAGTGCCTCTTTTTACACTTCCATCAAGTGGTCCTGGCTGGATAATCCCCCTGGGAAGACAACTTGAGCTTGTGTAATCTCATGCTTTCCTCCACTTCTGCAACTTGAGAGTAAAAGTGCGTTGTACCGGAAAATGACTGTCCATCTCCGACCTCGGCCCTAAATTCTCCAACTCTTTTGGGTTTGGATTTTCTGGAGTGTAATCTGGTCATCAGATTGGTATATCTTGTGTTAGTCTCTGTGGACATGTCTTTGTTCCCTCTGATCCATCTGCAATGGGCAACAATGAGAGGAGTTGCTATCATGGTCTTGCGGGGTTTGAATGAATCTCGGTTGCTGACGGCGGTTCTGTTATGATCTCTTACCGTTTGATTTGCTTTCTAAAGACGGGAATATTATCTTCCTTTGCGTGCACACTATGCTTATATATACTCGAATGGTTGGACCTCAGGTATGGTCTCCAAGCTTCAAAATACTCGTTAGCCTTTTTCCTTATGCCGTTAAATCACGCGAGTAACGTTCGACATATTAATGTCGTGCTTAAGTATCGTTAAATGATGTGATGATTTCTTATTGGATTCTGAAACGAGTGGGATCCATGCGTCGGATGGTAAGCATCTGATTGAAAAATTGACCATCACTTTTTAAGAGAGTTTTAGTAAGGTTTATTAATAGGGAGAATTGTCTAATCAAGTCTTAAACATATTGTATGAACGTCGATTTATTCTAAATTTTTCAGTTTTGCTAATTAAGTATGAAATGTGTGTGCGGAATTTCTATATAATCTTACCAGTCAATTTTCGTTGGAAATTATTGACATGTTGATCCAGCGTCGGCAGTTTTTAGCGAAAATTGATAGAATAAATGCATTGAAATTTCGTGAGAAGTTTTAGAATTAAATTAGCAAAATTAGAAAATTTAGGATTGAATTAATATCTATATAATGAGTGTATAAGTTTATGATTGAGGGACAATTCTCCGTCCATTAATATATCTAGCATTTTTCAAACTTAGTAATCATTTCACAATCGCTTTTATTGTTGACATTCTTCGCCGTACATTATAACTCGATTGCTTCCGAATCCTCGCAATAAGAGTTCTCCTAGCGACATCGAGATCACGTTTCGGCCCTTACACTTTTCGAAGTTGCTCAATTCCCCCCCCCCATCTGTCTTTTTTCCTTAATTTGCCCTGCAACCCCCCAATTCTGCCTCCTGTGCTGATGATCGGTCTCTTTACCATGCGGTGATATCATTGATTCATGTATGCAAGTTTCCACCTTTAGTAAAAAGATGGGATAATCAATATACTGTCTTTCCCAGTTCAATAAAAAGTCCCTTAGCGATTTAAAAGTAAATAATGGAATTTCCCTTTTTTTATTTTTCCAGGGGGGGCATTGACTTTTGAGTCAAACTCAGGGAATTAACCGGAAAGTCCCGAAATCGCCCCTGCAAAACAGTGTATTTTACTTACCAGTCTCAACCACCATCCCCCCTCCCTCCCTAACCTCACTTTCAACTGATAAAACAGCCACCAAACTCCCGTTCTCCCGCTAATCTAGATTATCGCCTTATCCCATCTCCTCCTCATCGTTCGACAACTCAACCCAAAAATACAAAAATACAAAAAATATAATTAAAAAAACAATTAAATAACCCAAACCCAAAATTATAAAATCAAAAAAATATACTTTTTTTAATATATATATATATATATATAAGTTAATTGAATAATCCAAAAGGAATGTCACATCCCTCTCTCTCTCTCTCTCTCTCTCCACCCTCTTCTTGCTTCTCAGTGTAAGACAGTCCAACGCACGAAGCCGTTCACGCAACTGCTTCCATTTCCACGCTCCTTTTCTCTCTCTATCTCTCTCCCTCGGCTGCCATCATCGTCTTCTTCTTCCTCCTCCTCCTCCTCCTCGCTTTGCTCCGCTCCTTCCGATGTTCTGAGCCCCGCGTTCTTTCCCCGCTGGCACCGATGGCGGCGGCGACGGCGGTCTTGTCGGCTCTCGCGGCCGTCTTGTCCCTTGTCCTCCCCTCCTCCTCCTCCACCGGCGCCGCGGCGGTGGCGGAGGCCTCCAGCTACGTGGCCTACAACACGAGCTCCGGGATCGCCCCCGGCAAGCTCAACGTCCACCTGGTGCCCCACTCCCACGACGACGTCGGATGGCTGAAGACCGTCGACCAGTACTACGTCGGCGCCAACAACACCATCCGGGTAAGGGAAACAACTCGGTTACCCCTCTCCTTCTCCTCTTCCGTGCTTGTCCGATTTGTTGGTTGCTCTGTGAGGCGAAATCGGCTGGGCTGACCGGGGTGGGGGGTGGTTGGCTCGAATTTGGTTCTGCGCAGGGAGCTTGCGTGCAGAACGTGCTGGACTCGGTGATCTCGGCGCTTCTCGATGATAAGAATCGCAAGTTCATTTATGTCGAGATGGTAACTTCTTTTCTTCCTTTCTTAATTCAGCGGCGTTTTGGGTTGCGTGAAGAGGAATGGTGGTTTGAATGGGTATGTTCTTTTTTTTTTTTTTATTAAATTTTCTTGAAGGCTTTTTTCCAAAGATGGTGGAGACAGCAAAGCGAAAAGATGAAGATTAAAGTGAAGGAACTGGTCGACTCGGGTCAATTGGAGTTCATGTACGTTCGGCTTTATGAATCTTTCTTCTTACTGTCTTTCCACATTTGGTTGCTCCATGGAAAATGGTCTCGGACTTGCGAATGATTGTGAATTTGATGGTTGCATGTATTCCGTAATAGAATACTGGTTCTGCATGTGACACATGATGAATGCACTGCAAACTGAGGGTCAATTAATTGAATTCTTACTTGTGTAGATTTGTTTGCGTTGGTTGTTAGTGACGGTGGTTCTGATACTGATCTTCGGGTGTTTTTTTTCCCTTTTTTTGCTTTGCTTCATCTAAGAAATGGGGGGATGTGTATGCATGATGAGGCGACCCCACACTACATTGACTTGATTGATCAGACGACTTTAGGCCATTGGTATATCAAAGAGGAATTCAATCAGGTTCCTAGAGTGGGTTGGCAGATCGATCCTTTCGGACATTCTGCTGTTCAAGCTTATTTGCTTGGCGCAGAGGTACGTAGCTTTCTTTCCTTAAATATTGACATCTGTTTTGTGCTTGGTGATCACCTACTGTTATAGGCCTTCTAGTTGAAAACAGTGGATGCACAAAAATGCAGGCATTGTGAAATCTTCTTTGTTTTATGGCTGCTGAAGTTATGAGATCTTAGTTTCTCTGGATATATATGAGTCTTTTTGCTTAATTTTTATGTATATTTTATGATTTACTTATATTCTTTTGCCAAATTCCTGTGCAGTTAGGATTCGACTCTCTCTTCTTTGCCCGCATTGACTACCAAGATAGAGCGAAGAGACTAAAGGATAAAACTCTTGAAGTTATATGGCGGGGTTCCAAGTCCCTTGGATCATCTTCTCAGGTTATGGGCATGACTCGTTCTTCCTTCAAGAATTGACCTGCTAGATTTTCCTTCTTGATGAGTCTTCTATACTTAAATTTGTTTCATCACTTGAATTATACTTGTTTCTTTCTTAATGATTCGCGTCTAACACTTTGTTCTTACCCTACCGGATATTTGAACCATTTACAGATCTTCACTGGTGTGTTCCCCAGGCATTATGACCCTCCTGATGGTTTTGTATTTGAGATAAATGATGTATCCCCTCCTATTCAGGTAAATCTTCCAAAACACATGGAAATGACATTGATATTCTATCAAATATATTTCTGTTGAGCTAATTATTTTTTTAACCTATGAAGGATGATATTTTCCTGTTTGATTATAATGTCCAAGAGCGAGTTGATGCCTTTGTAGCAGCTGCTTTAGCACAGGTGTGTTTCAGATCATAGCTCATCATTATTTAATTCTTGATAAACTAACTTTGTGTCTTCATCTTAATAACTTAGTTTGCATAAGGAAGGTTTGAGATTTATTGTATACCCAAAGAGCCTTCTTATCTAGATGCCCTCGACTTCCTAGCATTGCAATTATATTTAAGTCACTCACCAGTGAATAAATTAAAGGCTGAATATTGGCAAAGATTTTCTCTTATTTGTCTGTATCGTTGATTGGTTTCCTTTTAAATTTCTTCTCTTTCCTCTATTTATTTTTTCACATATGGGATTCTTTTCTTCTATTTTTCCTGTCATTTTTGGAGTGAGGACTGTTGATAGGCTAAGCGATTATATTCTCCATGACGCTATAGTCGAATATGGTACTTACCGCTGGTTAAGCTGAAAATTCTTTTTCCCATTATGAAAATTGTATACTTTCAAATCATAAATCTGCCTCTAGAATCATCTCAGGAATATGTGGCTTTTGTCAGGCCAACGTGACCAGAACCAACCATATTATGTGGGCCATGGGTACTGATTTTCGATATCAATATGCAATGTCATGGTTCAGGCAGATGGACAAGTTCATTCATTATGTCAATAAGGTAATTTAATTTCTCCAGGCTTCTTAAAATCAAGTAATCATGACATTAAGTTCTTCAAGAGTTTATTACCATTTAATCATTCTCTTTTCTTTTTGACACTTGAACTACTTTCAGGATGGGCGTGTTAATGCTCTATATTCTACACCCTCCATATACACAGATGCAAAAAATGCAGCAAATGAACAGTGGCCTCTCAAAACTGACGATTTCTTTCCGTGAGTTTGCCTAACTCTGTTTTGCTTTTCAAGCTTCTTTAATCCGACCTTGGGTTCGACAGTTCAATGCTACTTCAGGTATGCAGATCATCCAAATGCCTATTGGACAGGATACTTTACAAGTAGGCCTGGCCTGAAAGGTTATGTCAGGGTATTGAGTGGTTATTATATGGTAAGAGGCTGGCTTGAAGTTCACTGCTTGTTGTTAATGAGGGGATTCT